CAACCATTTATATCTGAATGGTTGGCAATAACACACAACATAACATTTAACAATAAAAATAAATGAACACATAAGGAAAATAATTTTTTTAGCAATGCAGCATATGAATTGTGTCATTTCTTTCCCTCAGTTTTCCTGTAGAGGTATCTACAGGGAACGCTTTACTGACACAGTCCAATCTGGAAACTTGGTGACCAGGTGGGATCAAATCTAATACCTTCTGACAGGTGAAAATCCTACCACTGTGCCACTCTAACCCACGCCCCTCAGTGGAATAGACCAATGTTGGATCTAATGCAGTCCACATACTCAAATACTGTAGTACAAAACCAACCTTCCCCCAGCCCTGTACAGGGACGAGGAATTCATTCAAAAACCCAACCATGATGCAGAAGTTAAACAATCGAGTGAAACAAATATGGAGGGAACCCTACTGTATGTCACCAGTGTGGTTCTGTTAACCTCTCTAAATACATGGTCAAGTATGTAGTTCTTATGTTCTGTTTTTACTAAAGCCCGTTAGACAAGTTTCCACAACCAAAGAAGAAGAGCTGGGCTAACCTCCAACCAACACTGCACATCTGCTGGAGGACACTGTAACCTGCACCGATGATATCAAACAGATCTGGGCCCACAGTATATTTATGACATTTACAAGCTCTCCAACTTCATTAGAGGACATTCACAGGGCAAGCAGAATAAGAACCAGAGTACCAAACTACAGCACACGTAAGGTTATAAACAAGTGACTTGCTCCTTAGCTATGACTGTTTACTCCCAGGTCATTTACTAGCAACACTGATGCAGGAATTATTTATTGGATTTAAAATGTGGTTTATCGGCAATAGCTCTCCGTAGAGACTAGCCTTTCTCCCTCTGAGTCCAAAACTGTACAAAGGAAAAACTTACAAGAACAAATTTTACAATTCAGCTAGTAATCTGAACCCCTTGACCCGTGGGTGAAAAAAACCCAAAACTTGCTGTGTAAATCATTTGTTTCAATTTTAGAGAGAACTTTTCAGCCACACAAAGACATACACACATGCTCTGGCCAGAAAATTTCTACAGCCATTAAATCGACCCATAAACCACAGTGACAGCAGAGCAGTTGACTTCCTGCTCAGTGTCTTCAGACGGCTTACAGAAGTGCATAAGGCCTCACATTAAAAGACTACAGCTTGGCAAGTTAGAGATATACTACTGTCACCTCTAAGCTAAGGTCAAAATGAGGTCCTTTAATAAACATACTCTCTCTCTCTCTCTATATATATATATATATATATACATACATATATATACATACATATATATATAAATACATATATATATACATACAGATTTTTTGAAGACATATATGTGTATATATATATATTTTTTGAATCATCAAGAAATGTAGCATGCTGCATATTACTAGCTTAAGGGCAAATTACAGAGTTTCAAATGTGAGATTTGTTGGCTGTACAGATCCACAGTGCCATGATGACACCTGCTTTCAAAATGGCACAACAGAAAACAGCTGAGGAGCAACAGTTGTCAACGGCAGCTACATGTCACAATGCAAGAGGGAGAAACGAGCTACAGGCTGGAGTGTGTGTGTTGCAGTGACTACCATAAGTGTTCTAAAATAACATGAGACATTTGTCCACCATGAGTCTGTTTACATTCTGTTTTTATTTAAGGAAATTGAATGTAAAGAATTGAATTGGCACTTTTACCACTGAGCGCTAACCTGACATTATCAACCGAAAGAATGAGCTGGAGCTAGAAGAGGGGTCTTTCTGTGGAGGCCGCCATGTTGGATCGCTACATTTTTAGCACATTGTTCTCTGCTTAGTACTGGAACTTAGTACTGAAATAGAAATGTTCTTCTACAATACTGTAAGGAAATGCTGAGGATATTTAGCTAGTTAGCATGTAACTCCACTGCCAGGTGTTCTTTAATCTTACACTTTTTAGCTCTGGTCAATTAATTTAAATGCTACAAATGCTTTGGTCTTTACATACAGTGTACCTTATATGTTGGGTCACTAATTAATTCATGTAGCTGTATGGCACAATATGATTTACTCCTTACAGCATATTATTTTAATAATATATATTTTTTATTTATGGTCTACCAGGACTGCCTTTGTGATCTCATGTGGCAGTCACATATTTTATACAAGAAATGAAAAGAGGAATCAAGCTGCAAAAATTCATGGCACATTGGTTACAGCCTATGCTAAAGAAGTATCAGTATTGGTACTCGATATCGGTGATCAGACAAATGAAAATACTTGTAATCATATCATTTTGTAAAAAAATGTAGTATTGAGAAAATATCTGTTAAAAAAAACAGTTAAAAACATCTTTTGACTGATAACCAATGGATCATCAATGAATTTTAATAGAGATCTCACTACTCACTGCCGCAGACCTAGAGTCAGGTCATTAGTGCATACTACAGAGGTCAAAGTATCAGAATGTCTTAGAACACATCTTGTTACTTATCTGGCCTCTGCTTAACTTCTGATGAAGTTTATGACTGAGTCCAGAAATTGTAGATACACAGGAACACAAATAAATGATTCAGATGACAAAAGACCCCGAACGACAATCAGAGGGGTAAGAAGATCAGATGCTGTGTGTTATCCTGACAACAATAGTGACAACTAGGACAGCTCTCTAATAATTAATAAGAAGAAGAAAAGTATTGAAGGTGATGAAGGTGACAACAAACAAACAATATCACAGCACATGTGTATTGAGTGCAATTTTGACATTACTCATGATGACAGCAAGTAAATACACAGTTTTTATGACAACCTTAAAGCCTGTCAGTAATTTGCATTGCTAATACGATGTACGTGGACTTGATGTCATTGTCTTTGTAAAATGTAGGGTTTTTTTTTAAAATAAGCTAATATTTTTAGCTTTTTAATAAGCTTTTCCCTCAGTATGTTAAGTCAGTATAAAAGATAGATATTCTGGAGCCCACGATCTTTCACTTCAAACTAATAAATCCCTAAGAGTACTGTGACCCACACACCTCCAGTCTACAGTTCATTATCTGAAATGTTTACAGTTTCAAATGTAAAACAAAGTTTGTCTAGCCGCAAGAGGGCAGGAACTGAGCATGATACATTATTAACATTGAACTATTGCTTTATATTAAATTGTTCTCCGTGAATTCCTAAATGCTACTCACAGAATCATAATGTAGGTCATATGGGAAGGGTATAAGGAACCGGAGTATAAATAACGATGGTAAATAAACGTAACGTTAAAGGAGCCAAAATTATTATCTACATTTTAGTTAAAATGAGGATATTACTCATAATCACTTAACATTAAAAACCCTAATTGACATTTCATACAATGTTTTTCCACACTTCCACAAATAATAAATAGGATATTTCTCATAATCACTTAACATTAAAAAACCGAATTGACATTTCATACGTTTTTCCACACTTCCACAAATAATAAAAAGATTTAAAAAGTACTTCTACTAGTGTGTGACCGTAGACGTGTGAGATGAAATTATCAGTTTGATTTTTGCGTTTATTTCCGTACCTCCTCCGGCGCTATTTATAGCCGGACGCCCAGCTGGGTGACAGCAGCGAATATTTTGACCAGATATGGTTTCCTTCAGAGCCGCTGCAGTCGCACTGAGAGCTCCGCTCTGCTGCAAGTCCACTGCCCGGGGAAATCCTGCGACCACTGCGCTACAGCGAAGCGTCCATGAGCTGCAGATTAGCCTCAGTTCAGCTGATTTCAGCCTCTTCTCCGCTCTTTGCACACAAGTCCCTACTCAAACTTTCGGCCGGTTAGTGCAGCCTGAATCCCAACTCCCGCAAAGGGCAGAGTAAACTTACGGGGAGGAGATTCTCTTCATCCTCTCCCCCCTCCTCTCGAACGCACGCACGGCTGCCCTGTCACTCCAATGATGTCACGAAGTAGTCCATTGTCACTTAGTTGCGACACGGACCGATTTCAGGGAGGGCAATTTTCGTTTACCTCGATTTTTAGCTTGTTTAAAAACTATTGTGCATATACACATCTTAAAAGTGAACGCCAACACAGAGAATTTTATCCATGAGATAAATATGAATGGCAATGATTGTTTTAGTTTGGGGACAATGTGTGGTATATTGTCAAAATCGTGTGCAAACTTTTAATAGTCTTAATGCACAAAGAACTACAAATTAAATTAATTATCAACATATTGCAGCACATTTCATAACATCGACATGAGCCGTAACTTTGGTACTGTACCGATTTTAGACCAAACCTACCGCTGCTTCGCCTCCCTGCATATAATGCACCGCATTGGAAATGTTTGTACCTGGATTGACCGCGACCAAGTCCACTGCACTTGGAGTTCGAAAAACTGGCGAGAGCGACCGCTTCGTTATGTGACGTCTTCATTTAGAAAGTAACTGGTCCGCGCGCTGACACATCACAGTTCGAGTGATCAGTGCGTTGTTATTGCTTGAAATGTCAGGCCAAACTCTTTAAAAAAGGCTCCTGTGTTAATCGAGATAATTGAAATATATGTTACTATATTTAATGCTGATATTTTGCAAATTTCACACCGACTTATCAAAAATTATATCTCAATAATATGCAGATAGTTAATAGCTATCTAAAATATTTGGTAGAAAAAAGTGTACCACTTTGACAATCTACAATGTTGGCCTTTATGGATCGGGTCATACATTAGTTTGGCACCAAACAACTTTCTTTTTTTTAAACTATTGAATCTTACAGATGATGTCCACTTACAGTATAAATCTGACACAGCACTTTAGTGTACCTGAAATTATTCCACCTAATAAACAACAAAATACCAAATAAAGTGTTCACTTTTTTTTTTACCATGAAACATTTGAAAGGTACATTATTGAAGTGAAAAGAAAAACAAAACTTTGTGCTAAAGAGTCACACACATGCCCGTGTAGAAAAGGAAAACACTTAAATTTAGGTGCAAACAAAACAAACAGCAGTTGAAATTACCTGAACAGGTGGAACCAAAGGTGTTCCTGCTGGTGTTAAACTATTTTTCTTCTTTATAAATGAACTGATGGTCACTTCTTCTGAGTTGACTAATTAATTTCAGTCTTAACTGAAAAAAAAGAACCCCTCAACAAAACTTTCCCCTACGTATTCTAAAGAGTCTCAAATTACAGATTGGGGCTAAAGTTACTGAATACTTGTGAAAGTGTGAGAAGTATTGGTTTTAGAAAATGGAGAGAATCAGAAGAACATCAGCTTCTCTGAAAATAGAGTTCAACTCAAACATTAGGTCTGAGATATTCCTTGAACAACTCGTGGAATGACAACCCGGGAAGAGAAGGGGAGTTCACTATCGATGTCGGCCATGAGGGTGTGAATCCAAAGATCCTTCTCCTGCATGGTGTCCACAAGATATACCATCAGTCTGATCTCCCAGGGTTCACCTTTACCTTCCAATGCAGACGACACACTCTCCACTTGAGCTACCAGTGCTCGTCTTTCCACATGATTTCTGAATAACATGGCGGCTTCTTCTGACCAGTGCTGCTGAGGCACACCTTAAAGAACACATTGGAGAGTATAGTGTATGCATGGTTACCTTTGAGTGTTCTCAAAGTCTAGATTAAGCCAAAACACATTCAAGACAATAATAAAAAAACACAGAAGGCACAAATTTAATGTAGTTTCATTTCAATAATCCCAGTTAAAGTTACCTGCCAGCTGAGCGGGAATGGCCTGAAAGGGCAGCTGTCTGAACTCCTCTAAAAGAGGCTGCAGGAGGTGTCTTCGGACCAGGTCATGTTTACCATGGTCAAGGTCATACACAGATACCAAGCCATTAGACAGAACCCCCTTGATTTGGACTCGTTGCCAGCTAGGTGGAAATCACATGAACCATCATTGATCACACACCACCAGCTACATCTCTCAACATCGTCCCTGCCTTCTTTATTTCTTCAAAGAAAATCTATGAATTGAGGGATAAAGCTGGACATCTTACCTTCACGTTTATCAATATCAAGTCACCAAAGCCTATATTCACTTTATGTCACCATTTTCTTTTCTTTTTTTTCTGTCACATAATCACATCAGTCAAAACTGATACATCAATCACCTACTTCTTATCAATTCTGGCAGCACAAATATCTCCTTTCTGGATGTGCATGGTTGTGTTGGTGTTGGTAATCATTCGGTTATAATAGAGGATCATCTCCCCCAGCAACACTGTGAGCTTATGCAGGTCCTGCCATGACTGCAGCACAAAGTGTCCGGGGTGACAAGCCACTGGCACAAAGACATCAATGTTTTGATCAGGCTGAAAGGATGAGAACAAGGTCATTGTTAACACACATATTTTTATGGTGCAGTCTTGTTACTTATATAAACTACTTATATAAACAAAATGAAGTAGTTAACTATATGTTAAAGCTCATATGTTCTCAGTATGGTTTCTACCGTGTTACAATAATCAACAGTTTGTGAATGCATGCTGTTTAACACACCTGGGGGAGGTCCAGAGGTGAATGCATGCGGTTTAACACACCTGGGGGAGGTCCAGAGGGGGAGGTAAATAAAGTATCTGCTTCATGTTGTCCATTGATCCATGACAAAGCTGTGTCAAAGCAGTGACAGCAGGGTATTGTGTGAAACTGCTCAGAGTCACTTTCTCCTGCCGGACTCTGAGACCTGACCAATCTGAGAACAAAGTGAAGAAAGATATTAATGTAAAATTATGTAAGTAGAGAAAAGTAAATAGAAATTATTTTATTTGATAGTTTATTTGCCAAACAGTACCTGTATCCACAGTGCAACTGCTGGGCAGTAGGATGCTTTGCCCTGAGGGTTTCTGCCACATGTCAGACTGAGCAACATGATGGTTGATGCTTTCACCCAGATCTTTGCCATCAACACCGAAAAAAAGGTACATGTAGACTAGTTGCTCCCCGTTTCTCTCCTCTAGTTTTGAGATCTAGCATTGGGCCAAAGCCAACATCTGTTAAGCAGCCTATCACAGTCTGGGCCATTTATCAACCAATTACAGACATTCTATTTCATTAACAGGCCACTGACAAGATATGTGTTTATATTTTATATGCATGTTTTTGAATCACCTTCATTCTGCAGTCTTTACAGCCCAGGACAGCGTCTTTCACCCACATGACGACTTCTGGACTCCAGTCTCCTTCTGGAACTTTGAGGTCCACCAGTTGACACTTGATGGCCTATAATTTTCATAGCAAAAAGGAAGCAAAAAGGAACATTTTCCATCAATCCCACTGATCTGCCCTGGTTTCCAACACACTTCAGTTTAACTGTCTCATATACTCAACAGTTTCGTCATATACGGTACATGCAACAGTTTAGCACACTCTAAATAAATGGTGACAATACACAGAACAGCAGCTGACATACAGCCTGTCTTTTATTGGCATCTTAGTGTATACGCAAAACGGAGTCAGGTTTGGTTTAAGAGAAGGCTGCTGCCCACAGAGAGAAACACTGCTTATAAACAAGAGCCTCTTTGTTCTATTAACATTTGACAAACAAACCAAATGTCTTAATAACATAACATCATAGTCAGTCATATTCTATGGTTATTGTGTAGTATTTAAATTAGTACAAACAACTAAATCCACATTAAAAATAAATAAATCTAAGAATAAACTATATCAATGATCACTGTATTCAGATTTTACCAAGGTACCCCCCTAAGGGACAGGTGTTTGACCTGTGGTGGAATGATGATGAAGTCTTTCAGTAGAGGTGGAGGTATCTCTCTGAGATCAGTCACTTCCACTGTTGCCGAGATGCCCAGGTCAATGAAGAGGATCTCCATTACTCTGCTGTTGTACATGTTTGTAATCTGACAACAAAGAGTTGCCATGAACAGATTAAACAAACACTCAAATCAAATAATGTAAGATTGAAACACACCTGGTATGAAATAATTCTAAAGCAACTCTCACCTCAGCTCTGGACCACTGTGATTTGTACTGGGCTAAACAGAACTTGCCACTGAAAGGTCTGGACACCAGGGATTCAGATGTAATCTAAGAACCACAATGAAAAAGATCAAAATTAATGAAATGTGAAAGGTCAAGAGGTCAAAACGAGGTGGTTCTTCCATGCATAATCATGTACAGTCAGTTAGAAAGAGGAAGTTGACTTATTTATTTGTTCAAGATCTACCTGAGACTTGTAGAAAACCTCAGCTTCCTCCAGTAACTTGCCGAGTCGTGCTGTTCCTCTGCAGGGCAGCTGACAGTAGATGGTGCCATTGGCACACACATTTGTGACACACACATCTTGGTAAGTAACGTTTACCTACAAGCACAAGGAAGTTAATGGCCGCTTGATTATGGGGGAAAATAATATATATTCAAAATTAACAAAATCCAAATTATGACACAATGGATTCTGGAAACATATGGAATTTGTTCGCACAAAATTAAGAGCAAATGTGACATTTTCCCCCCTCTCTTATTTACCTTCTCTCCCGATAAGAAAACTGAATGTAAAATTATGAAATACTGCAAACTGTAACTGAAAAACCCTGTAGGTCGAGGACCCCTTATGCAAATATGCGTCAAAGAGTATTCTCAGCAGTCTGTTTAAATTGTTAAGTGTTCAAAGTTTATACAGATTACAAAAAATCACTGCAGCAGCAATGATTCTGATCTGATATAAAAAGTAATCAACTCCAACCTACAACCAGAGGGTTGTCCATTGTCTTGTCCTGCAGTGTCTTGAGGCAGATGGAGTTAATGTTCACATCGTCGTCACCCGAGGTGTCGTACAGCACCGCCACAGGCAACTCCAATTGTTGACATGGCTGCACTATCTCAATCAGCAGGATCTTTCCCACAGCCAACTTTTCCAGGCAAGGCTGAACCAGTGGAAGTGAGCTAAAATTCTCTAAACCTGAAAACAGAAGGATGAAAATAAATGAGAAGATATTTTGGCAGTAATAACCAGCAACAACTTCTGCTCTGATGTTGAATCAATAAATAGGATAAAAACAATGTTAACCACATTTCCTGTGCTGAATGTACCAGCAAGTTGAATGTTATTGGCCTGAAAGGGTAGAGAGAGGAAATCCTGGTGGAGCTCCAGCAGATTACCACCACTTGTTTCCAAAGAAAAGCCATAGTCCACATAGTACACCTGATAAACAGACACAGACAAGTTATCGCTGCAAAAACATAGTAACAAACTTTTCCGCAGAGGGACATGGATTAGGTTTTAGAACAAATTACCTTGACTTTGTTGAACGCCATCACCTCCATGACTTGACCTCTGGCAATCTCTTCTCCATCTTCTCCTCTGACAGCTACCAGTTGACCAACGGCAAGGCTGGACACGACACGATGTTGTCTTGAGCACTGTGTGTAGAACAAGCGCATGGTGTCCTCTAACGCCTCCTGAGCAGTGGAGTAGTTCTCACCCACATATCTAAATGACAAAATGACTCCTGTCAGCTTCTCACACATGCTTTTGGGAATGTTTTTCTAGTCCCTGGTTAAGTTTTGCAGGTAGGAATAAATGTAGTTAAAAATATTATGTTTTAGCTTCTATTAAAACAATGCATCCAGTTGGAGTGTGCAAACACATAAGTGATGTGAGCGCTACCTTATAGTGACAGTGTTGCTGCTCTTAGCATCAGTAACCAGCACGGAGGGATACTGTTCTGAAGGACGGACCAGAGTGGGAGGAAGCACAGGAGCCAGGATCTCAATACCAGATGGGAGTGGTTGACCTTTGAACTCTTTGCTTTCAGTTATGTTTGCATCCTCTGTGTCTGTTTTGTTATACAAGATAGTCTGACAAAAAACAGGACAATGACATGTCATATACTTACTTTTTTATCTCACAAACACTGCTCTATACTAAAATGTATGACCATGCTTTATGGACTTTATAGCGCCCCCTGAATGCAAGAAGAGGAACTCAAGACACTCAAGTTACAATGGCTTGAACTGATATACTCACCTTTTTCTTTCCACGAGTTATGGAGTACTCCACAGAGCACATATTCAGCAACAGAGACAAGTTGTCCAGGATATGATCAGGAAATGGCATCTTGTAGGTCTCAACAAACAGTTTAGGCAATGCATGTGCCCACAGTCCTTGACTGTACTTAGAGAGCAGCTCTTTAATTTTCTGACGCACCTCAGCTGGTATAGTATCAGCAGATGATTGTGACACAGGGGAAGAATTAGAGGTTGGAGTAACAGTCACTTTCAAAAGGGAGGAAATATCAGGGTTAGGTTTATGAGAGGGAGCTTTGCATTCTTTTATAGCAGGAGTTAGAGTGGGTGGGTGCTGGAGGGCAAGAGTTAGGTTGGAGACGGGGCTACGCAGTGAGACAGGGGACAGCTGTGATGTTGAAGAGTCAGAAACAGGCTGTGGTTGAAAAATAAAAGTAGGCTTTGCCAAGGGGCTTTGGGGGGAGACTCTAGTTTTAGGAACAGAGGTCAAAGGTTCCCTAAGTGTTAAGGGGGGTGACATGCTTATATCAGAATTTACAGGTGATGTTGGAGAGGGGGTCCTGGTGCCTGTTCTAGGCACAATCAAGGGCTTGTGAGGGACAGGAGGGTAAACCAGCCAGTCAGCCCGATTGTGGTTAGGTGATGGCTCCACCTGAGGAGAACAAAGTAAAACTGAAAGTGATTTATTGTCATTGACACACAGCACAGCACCCTTCTGTAAATGCATGTTGACATAAGGGTCATCCAAAAGGATTTCACTGTATGACATTCTCACCACACAAACATGCATCCACTTCTCCAGGTCTTTGAGCACCTGTGGGTTGAGCTTCTGATTGAATGTAGTGCTGTAGAGCTCTGGTATTTTTGACATCCACACTCCACTGCAGAATCTGGACAGGAGCTGAATCATTCTGCTTTGCACCTGTTCTTCATCGTACGGCTCCGACTGCTGGCAGAGATGTTAGTGTTTAATCTCTACAGACACAGGGGTGTGAACATTTTGATCCATTTGGTGGAAATGCTCTCATAGTTAACATTTTTATTTTCCTCACAGACATAAGTAAATATTACTTCACATATTTGTCGCTACTACAGGTTACTATACTGTTTATTGACATACCTGAGTGGAGCTGGAGTTCCGATCTGAAGGTTTTTCTAAAAAACAGTATGTAAATAAAGAAGAATAAAGAAATGTTGACAAAGCCTTGTATCAGTTATAAAATTTACTGCAAAACAGTTAAAGGTATAAGAATAAGTGTAGTTCAAAACCTCAGTGATTAGGTCAATTAAAGAGCTCATATCATACACCTGCACAGCAAATTTCTGAAATGTATATCAAGCATCCTTATTTAAATGTTAACAGTAAATATTGGACACTCACCCAAAAAGAAAGCAAACACAACATAGTGTCTCACATACCTTGAGTCTTCTGAGCAACAGCCGACTCATTTCTTTTCCTGTATAGAAACACCTATGAGCATTTATTGTTTTCCATTTAGATGACCTTTCCATAAAAACATGTCACACAAAGAGTTAAATATAGTACATCAATGCAATAGTTGTATTGTAATACACTGCCTGGCCAAAAAAAAAATCGCCACCAAAAAAAAAGGGTCATACACTCTAATATTTCGTTGGACCGCCTTTAGCTTTGATTACAGCACGCATTCCCTGTGGCATTGTTTCAATAAGCTTCTGCTTTGCTTCGTTAAATCCAGGTGGCGACTTTTGTTTTGGCCAGGCAGTGTATAATTAGAATGTTGTCCAAAAACCAATGTGTGCAGTAAAGATGATCCACCTGCAGGGATAAAAATAGATGTTCTCACCTTTGTATGCTGCCTGAAAAAGAGAGTACATGTTTAATTTGGTTGGTCTACATGTTTGTTTACCTTTCTGGCAGAACACAGTGTTTCCCTGTTGTTTGAGGTTTTCTGTGTTCAGTAGGTTTGATGGAGCTCAACTTCTGGTCCAGCTGCCTAATGCACAGGAGAAATAAGCCACTTTAAATTCAATTCAATTATTTTTAGAAAGTCAATAAAAAAACAGATTTCTTGTGGTATATATTGCAGAAGAATGTTAGTCATTTCAGAATACTAAAAGGCATTTTTTAAAATAAATCTGTATGCAAATTTTGTTCTACCTGTAGTCTCCAGATGCACTGCAGACTCCATATGACCAAGAACGATTTGCTGGTCGAGAAGATGCTTGTGTAGCCGAGGGCTGGCGAAGGGACGACCTTGGCCTCACTGAGGTATTGGAAAGAGTTGAGGTCAGAGGAGTAAGATTGGAAAAACTTTTCACAAAATTTTCAGCTTGGTTTGGAAAAAATATCAATAAACTGGTAAACAAAACTGGTCTAAACAAGACAATTGTCAACAAACTTAAAAGTTGCACATCAGTAGGAATTAATGATCTGCACAAATCATTGAGGGTGATGTTAGTATCAGTCAAAACTGTGACCAACTACCAGATGCTGAATGAAGACAGATAAAAATAACAATAATAATATGGAGATTAGGCTCAAATCAATGCATCAGTTACGAGATAATTAAAATTGGAATTAGTTAGTCATATTTGCTGTTTGATAAACAAATAAAATAAAATATACTAGCCAATCATTTAGATAAGTCAGTAGACAACAATAAATGTCTCTTACTGTTTTGCATGTATGGGTTGGAAGGTTTGGATCTCATCTTGCAGTTAACAACTTGAGAGCGGCCAGCCTTCTTTGAGCTCTTCTGCCGAGCCACTAGTTGAGCAATGCTGGCCGTCTCTTCAGACACTCCGGCCAAGCAAATGAGCTGCAGCACCCAGTCGAAGATTATATGTGGCAGATTGTCATGAGAACAGTCAGAACATTTAGTCATTCAAACAAAGACACAAAAGTGTTGATGGAAATGCTAGGGATGGCTTGACCCGAATTTCCGTCCGATCTCATACCTAAACCAAAGTGCATAACTTAACTTAATGGTGACATGCTGTAAACAGCAACACTTTGGCTTTAGCAATGGTTGTCCATGGCATGGTGGAGGACAAAAGGTATTAGTTTGATATTGGTATCAGCAAATACTGCAACTTGCAGTATCAGTATTGCACATGAAAAAGTCTCATCAAGCTATCCAGAGGCAATGCAAATCATGCAAATAAATTCATAAATAAAAGACCCCACCTCGCCATTTCGATGCTCCAACTGAACCACCGAGGGAATACTTTTCAGGAAGTCCTCCAGTTTTGAGTAGCCCAGCTTCTTCAGTGGGATGCTCTCTCCACACAGTGAGCGGTACTCTGACGGGAGGTTGTTGAAAGACACGCCACCCTTGCTGGACAGGAGCACAGACCGCAGCATTTTCTTGACTGACTCTGTGTCCGACATTCTGGTAAGTACGCACTGAAACAATGGCAACAAATGAATTATTTACATGGACTATTAACCATTTGACTCTTAACATCTGTCCACAGCAGCTTCAAGATAGCAGCTCCCATTGGAGTGAGAGTCTGGCACTTCAATGGGAACTTCTGATGTGGCCCCCCAGTGATAATCAGTTTCGCACCCCTGCTCTACAACATTAAGCTCTGCAGGTGGTGCTAAAAAACACACTTCAGTAGAATCTGTTGGTATATGACTTTGGTGTTAAAGTAATTATTCCCAGTCATGACAAGAAGTAGTGATATAATAAGCCTGAGAGACTCCTGATCATCATACATCATATAAGAGATGCATTCTGTATCTCAGGACAAGGACATCAATTGCAGACAAAACATAGATGAGATGGTTTAACTGTGGAGCTAAAAACATCAGACAAAAGCGATCAAAATGTAACAATTACAAACAAACAAAAATGAAATAAAGGAGGAATAAGCAGTAGAAGATGGATGGACGGACGGCCAGTAAGTCTGCAAACTCCACTACACACTTATCCATCTTTTCTTCTTTTTGGGGTGTTACAATACATATATAAATTCTTCCACTCTTAAATGCCTTTAACACGAAAGCATCATTACTGAACCAACATAAACACCATTAACCTTGTTTGACACACCTGAAATAACTGACGTGGTGAATTATTCTCGTTTGTTTGTGAGTAAAATAATGAAAACATGTACCTTTAATTCTTCTGACCCTAACTATGTGTTCAGTTAGTCAACTTTACTACTTATCATAGCCTGGAGTTTCTGGACAACCCGAAGCAACAAAACACAGAAACACGGCAATCGATTACTTTACCGCAGATTGCTCAATGAACTGGTAAAAGGGAGCAATTTATTTACCTTTTCCATGAAAACAAACTGAAAAGTTATTTACCTCACGTGTGAGACTGGTCTGTGTCAGAATTTTAACGTAAAATCTCGGTCTGCAAAGAAAAAGTATCAAACACCTTAATCGTCGACAACCTGATTCACTCACCGCCAAGGACTGACGTTAACTCACCTCCTACACACTGATCACATGCTAATGGCTAACTGCCACCACATGGGACATCGTTTACAGACAGCAAGCAAACAAAGTTAAGACTCAGTTATTTTTGCTTAAAAAATCGCTACAAACACCATCAAATTTTGTATTTTTTCTTACCTGCAACTTTACCTTGTTTAATTGAACAGAAGTCCCAGTCGACGCTCACAAAAAGCAAAGAATTTTTTTTTGTAAATTCAAATGAGCATGCTAATGAAGTAATTCGTCATTTTCAAACATTTCTCCTAAATATGCGTAGCATTTTTTTCCCCAAAAGCAGTAAATAATGTTGAATGTTGTTCGCAATAAACAAAGCACAAGTGTGAAATAAATATAAACTGAGGAACACAAATCTTTTGAGTTTTAATTATTTTAACAAAATATTACCATAGCCAACGTTTGATCAGTTGCACAAAAACACATAAAAAGTACAATCATATTTACACATTAAATTCACATCTATTTACAAAAGGTAAACCATTTCAAATACAACATGTCCTTTGTGGCAAATGACTATACTGTGAGAGCTGACAAGAAATTTAAAACAAGTGTTCAATAATAAATCTGTTAGGTTCTTGCAATTGGTGTGTGATTCCACTTATAACTTTATTATTCACAATGACTGTTACTAGTCATCTGAAGGCACTAAGATGCGGGTTTTTCAATCTGTTTTCAACTGTTTTCTTCTGGCGTGACTGTGTCCTCAGGTGACATCTGTGACATTGCTTGACCCCTTTGTGTCTGTGAGGCCATGAACCAGGCCCGAACCACCATATCTGACTGAGGAGATGAGGACATTTGTAACAAAGAAGAAGAGGAGAGATGGTGCTTTCTGAATGGTATCAGATGGGGGTTTTTCAGCAAAGTATAAAACAACATCCAGCGCCTCCTCGTCTTGCTATAAACAGGGCATTCTAGAGAAAAAAAAACATAAAAACAGTACATAACATAAGTTGCGTTATTATATAAAAACGTTAAAATGCTAATCAGTTTGTCATTGACACACAACACACACAGGACTGACCTGAGGGCATGTTGTCAAATGTAGAGTAAGCAGACACTGTGAGTCTCTCCAGCTTGTTGGTCACCAGCAGGTGGCAGAAACACACCATAACTGGATTGTTATGATAGTGGTCTGCAAAAATCATCCCAATCCAAGTACTGTAGCCTGGAACAGGTGAAAAAAGCACAGTTACAAAGAATATAAACAATTTCTAACATGTGGTGTGTTTGAGTGGATTATTTAATATTTATTGGCAAGATAATTATTATTGTTATTAATATTAATATTAAACCTCTTGTGACTTTTTAATTTGTCTGCCAATAATCTCTGGTTGAACGATGTCTCACCAGCATCCATGCCTTCATATCCTCTCTGCATGATGGTACGATCTATCCTGGAAACCAGCCATGTTCCCACAATGAGACTGCACAGCAGCCTCATGATACAGTTACTGAAGCCCATCACCACGTTGTAGAAAAAGAAGAAGTAGTTGAAACAGTGGAATGCCTTCCTGAAAAGGAGAACAGGGTTTTGTGAATTTAAAGTTTAAAGTCAAGAGTTGTCAATCTTAGCTGGTGCACGAAAATCCAGCTGTGTCAATAAGACACAGACATAAGACCATTATATTATTTTATTTTAATAAATAATTTATGACATAATATTTTGTCATAAAATAATATTTTATATTATTAAATATTTTATTAATATTTTAGTCCAAATAAATATTTATTCATATATTTATGAAAAATATATATTCATGTAAATTTTACATGAATATAACTGTGTATACATACCTGTTGTTGAGAGCTAGGGGTTTTTCTTTATCTGTGGGAGACATTTTGTCTTGAAGAAAGAAGATCTGGACCAGAACTATTTGGACAATCACTAGACCGACGACCAGACCAATGGTCAGCCTGAGACACATGCAAGAAAAACAAATCAATCTAACTGGCCTCTAGTCGTGAGCTGAAAATGACCATAACAATATCAGCTTTACAGAATGAGTCCCAGGCTTGAGAGCATCTGCAGTACTTTGTCGTGCTGTATGGGAAGCACAAGCACGTAGACAAAGAGAAGGGCAAACAGGAAGTGGACAAAGTGGACAATCAGATATCCTAAAGAGAACAAAAAAAGACATTTGGTTTTTAATTAAATAAACATTATTTTTACTATCAGTCACCCCTATATAGTGCTCACCCCAACTCACCCCAAAGTGTAAATGCTATTTGCCAACCAGAATATCTAGCAATGGACGCCTGCAATTAGGAAATGTAAAATAAATAAGAGGTAGCAAACATTTCAAGACCATATTTACATGTGTGGACAGTGTTGACCTAGTTTAAATGTCCAAATGCACTGAACACTGAACACATTTAAAATATACTGACACCTACAGATGACTGATGCAAAAGTCCACATGTAGCTTGGATATAGCGGTTACGTTTACAAGTGCATACTTGTCATTTAAATTATACATTTTTATGTTAAGTCTGAAGGTCAGCTCTGTTGTAAGTCAATTTGGACATCTGTTTTTCTTAAATTCAATTGTGGGTGTGTGTTTGTTTGTGTGCACCTTACGACGCTAGTTGCAGCTCTTGGTTTGTGAAACTTCTCAGGAATAAAACGCTTTTGTCCTTTCCACAGTCTTCTTAGGTGTTTCCTGTAGCATTGGTGCAACATTACAAAAAAGAATTAACCTAATTAAAATGAAGTAAACAATTTAGGCTTGCCTCCAATCATATTTCAGTCATCGTCTGTAGCCAGGGTTAAAGGAATCTGCCCTGAGGCCTTCAGAATCAGTATTGTCAGCACCTGGAGCCTAATATGCCATGTTTTTCTTAACCAATCAGATTTTGGCTTTCTAGCAGACAGTTACATTGGTGTTATTCAGTGACTGTTGAAGAAACCCCTCAGTCAAAAGGACAGTCATTAACATGGGATCTTGTCTTCACTCAGTCAATCATCAAGACTATACTTTCAGGGATCATTTCTATAGTTTCTTATTGTGGAAATGTGTTTCTAAAGAGTGTGGTCTCACTAACCATGATGATGAGTTGGGACATTCTCTTCTGAGCAGGAAATAGACAGAGAGAAATGATGTGTTCATGGACTCTGTGATTGATGACTGTTCTCTACTTCTCAATGAGGAAGAGCATGTGTTCAGAGTGGTTCAGCTGGATTTATAAAACTTAACAGAATGCAATTATTTTAATTGCACTGCTCCTTGTCCCATATATGTGAGTTGTTTTTTAATCTCAGTTATATACTGTATTTGTTGCCAGGGTGAAAAAATGTCTGCCTTCAGAATCAGCAGTTTGGCACCTGGAGCTTACAATGAATGGCAAACAATTGTCTCTTTACCACATCTGATTTTCAGTTGGTGACATGAAGGCTTTCTGGAAGGTGTACAGTTACCTTAGTGATTTGAATGATTTGATTGGATGTTCAAAAACAGGCAGTCTCTGATCTAGCAAACTGTAACATGCATATATGAAGACTGATCTCATCTTAAGGAAAGAGAGGAGGATGGATTTGACCTGCGCTGTACACCCCCATATATTTTGAAGATCTCTTACCTGTAACATGCTAAGATGTGGAAAGTGTAGGCAACAGAATTAAGACTGGCAAAAATTGTGGTGGCCAGCCAGCATTCTAAAAAAGGAGGAGGACAGAAATAAGTCCTACAGGTTTTAAAATATCAAACAAACTGTGTTTTTTAGAGCCACTCACTTCTAGCAACATCAATAAATTCCTCCAGTTTTGGTATCAGGGCCTCCAGTGCTCGAGTTTCATTACACATAACCAGATGCTCGAGCTGGTTCTTCCACATCTCCGCTTGGTCAAAAATTGCTGTTGAGAGAATGTAGTCTGCTAGAGTCATCTGGAGAAATAAAAAAAATACTAATTATTATAGCAGTCCCTTAAGATGATGTAAAACCCAGTTTGTCCAAGCATTATATTTAATGGAAATACCATCAAGTAAATCATTTAAACAAAAGTAAATAAATGTCTTCCTGTTTACTTACTATATATAGGCCAATGATGGATAAAATAGCAGTGCCGATGATCCTGTTGGGGAACTTGAAGTAAGGATCCCACAAATACACTCGCCTCTGGAACCAGCTGAGCTGCTGACTGCAGCAAAAGATAAAAACCATTGTTCATATCACTGTGTGCATGTGGCAGTCTGGGCATACACTGCACGTATTCTCTGCAATGTTTAACCTTTGGAGCTTTAAGGTCACTGGCAGCCAAGAAGTTTAAAAATAGATTTGATGATAACATATGTCAATATTGTTGCAAATTTATTTGAAAGCTTCGGACAGAGAGTTGATGGAAATCAGAATAAATGGCTTCTAAAGTCGACTGCAAACATTAAAGGCACAATTAGCCAATGTGAATTTTTGAAGGATCTTATAACAGACTATGACTTTGTTTGTGACTATGACACAGATATATATATATATATATATATATTTGCTGCAGTGACATCTCCAGTATTTAGTGTTTCATCTACATTTTGCACCTAATATTAAATTGTTACAATTGTATTGACCATATTTATGCAGACACATATACGTATGACTTATACCTGTCCACTGGTGTTTTCCTCAGCAGTCTCTTGACATGCTGCATGTTGGGGTGCTTGTTCAGGTCTTCAAGCTCCTGGCAACAGATTCAATTAGGTCACAAAACAGTTGTTGGTCATAAAATATATAAGAACAAAAAGATTATATTGACACAGAAATCTTAGATCAGTGGTTTGACTCTGATGTCAGAGATCATTTGTCCTCATTTATCTGTGTAACAGTGACAAAGAACAAACGTTTCCACTTAGTCACAGTAGATGGCAGTAACATTTTAAAAAGAGATGTGCATATTTCTTTAATTCCAGTGTTGTGTTCAACTAAATAGGCCCAGGTTTCACACCGTGTAGTACATTTGGTGTACAGTCAAACTAAAAGATTATTTCTGTATACTTCAGTGCAGTGTGAATTTTCCATTTTAAATTTCTAGCTGTGGCTGAAATAGGTTTGGATACTCAGGCTTAAATGGGTACATTTAAAAAATAGTTATAAGTGTTTTGCATTATTTATTATTCAAATCATTTTTACTCACCTCTTGTTCCTTCCACAGGCGTATTCTTATGTCCTTAACTAAAATGTAGACAAATCGACCCAAGAGGAAGATGAGGGAGAAGAGGCAGGGCCACTGGACAATTATCTTCTCATATCGGCCAAATATCTTTGAAATTATGCAGATACATTTATTTTTATCAGTTAGTGTAAGACATTAGAACAAGTGGACTGAACTTTCACATGCATACTCAGGTAAATACCTCTCCATGAGGACAGGTGAATGTGTCCCACACTATCACAATGATCCTACAAACAAGCATCAAATCTCTTAACACAATAAAATGTTGCACATATACGTTAATTAAAGTTAGACTTTAAAAATGGTGAATAAAAAAACATTTACTTCCAAAAGTATTTTTTGACCATAGATCAATTATCACTTACATTCCTAGTTATCACTGTATAAGTTGTATACTGAAAGTACATATTTTGGGTGATATTTAGTTGTATGTATAATGGAATGTTTACCAGGCCAAAGAGTAGACGATCCCCAGCACAGCACCCGGTCCACGAAAAGGAGTGGACAAACAGGCAAAGAATGGGAAGTAAACCAGGCCAATTTCCAAAGCTCCAATCAGGTAAACTATAGCTGTAAAAAACCAGACAAACACAAACACTTGACACACAAAACAATTTTACTTTATGATTTTTTATATTTTATTTAATGTTGTGAATTGAACAGAAACACTGATACAGGACTGAAAATCTTTTGAAAAATTATGAGCTAACTGAACCCTTCATATTCACTTCATATTGAATGTTTAGCCCACTTAGTAGCAACAGTAGTGCAGCTAGCAGTAGCATTGTTGAGATTAGGTCACTTTATACACATTGCGATCAAGGTGTTACCTCGAGCCCAGGGTGGGACAGTAAAAGGGACGTAACGTTCAGAAAAGAGCAGGAGGACGTTGCTGGACACAGCACCAAAGGCAAATCCATAGGACCAACGGTTACTGAGGCTGGATATCATGTCCATAGGCCTGGGGCACAGCATTGACAACAGTCTCTAGTTAGTAGCTACGTGGCTGATGAGTACAACAGTTAGTCAAGGTTAAACTGTTGAACTGCTACTGACTTACACCACGATCGCAAAACGTCCCCGTAGGAAGGGCAGATGGTGGTCTATGGCCAGCGGCTGTTCTCTTATTTGTAGAAACGACAGCACGCTTACAATTAGCACCTGCAAAACACAAACACCTGAACGCCACATCTCTGGGAAACAGTTAAGGAGTTATTACAGCAGTATCTTTAGTTGTGATTAACCGTTGAGTTCTGGTTGACAAACACAGTTCTTCTGTCATAGACAGTCGACAACTGAGTATGTTCACATTTACTTTTGGAAAATAATTTTGGCAAATAGTTTTTTTAAGGAAGTGAACTTTGTCATGTGTTTGTGGTCAAATACATCACATCACACTTACTGCTGGGATTAGAGAGACATGCAAGAAGAGATCCACAGGAATTTTACTTTGACACTCCAGAACTGTGGACATCCTAGAAAAACAGCACATTATATATTAAAAAAAACATAACACTGTACTGAGCAAAAAGACAACAAGCACCTAAAGTAACTGACTGACTGCCAACTGTCATTAAATGTAAATAAGACTACATGGAATGAAAGAAATGTCAGGACAGTTGGTGTAATTTAGAAATCGTTGACACTGTGAACTAATGCAGTCAAACAGTTTCAATTCCTTTATTTTCTGTCTAAGGTCGAACTCCCTCCTGTCCTGACACACAGTTGTTAGAATCAGGTTGTCAATCTATTCAATTCATTATCGTCATTAACACGAGAAGAACAAACAGTCAAAACAGTGTCGTGTGTTCAGCTCTCGTCTCTACTCACTCCAGTTCTTGGCTTCCGTTCATTTTGACCAGTCAGTTCACTGAACGCCTCGTTTGTAGATTAGAAAGTGTCGGCGGATTAACGCTTCGTTATTTCCTGGTTGTGACTCACGAATGTCCACAGCTGTGTCCTCTTTTTTTCCTCTCGCTCCTCTTTATTACCAGAAGTTTCACACCAACACACACACAGGAACCATACTGAACACGGCGTTACTCAGTAAAGGAATTGTAAACAACAGACTCGACCACCTGGTCGTTCACCCTGAAAAGAATGTTCTGGAGATTGTAATCAAAATCAACACATTTCACCATCTGGTCCTTCATAATGACATCCGTTTTTTAATGATGATTTATGTTTGCATGACTTTTTTATTACATTAGTAAAAATGAGTCATCTGCTGTGTGACATTTTATTGTTAGCAGTTAAACAAGAACATGTGACAAATCATAAATCCATAACGGACGTAATTCAGATTTCAGTACAAGAGGAACATACAGTCAATTAAAGTTTAAAGTTCAGATTAGACTTAAAACTTGGATGACGTTTACAGTTGTGGATTAAATGAATTCAAACATTGCAAGGCTTGTTGCCTCCAGTGATTATTTCTCTTCGCGCCGTGTCTCAGTATTAGGTTTTTAACATTACTTCTTAGTCTTACGAATAATCTATCTGTCGAACATTACCAGGAGAATTCTCTCTACCCTGCCTGCACTCCATGTCTCCTAACAGCAGTTAGCGACACTAGCTATGTTGTTCTACATTGGTTCATTTCCTTTAAAATGTGCAAAAACCCACAGTTAGCACACAGACATGAACATGAACAATAACAATATATACAAGGAGAGTTTCTGGAATGAACATGAAGATGATCTGACACAGTCAGGGTTATAAACACACAGAGAGGTGGGGGACTAGAGACACATCTCTTCCATCTCAGGGAAAGGTCAGGCAATCAGGAGAAGCACAGGTGTAGACGCTCACCTGTAATGAGAGAGAGGCAGAACGACACCCAAGACAAAACCAGGATAAATGATCTTTAGAGTCTTTTGGAGTGAATCTGATGGAAAACTGGTGGAGACCGTGCTTCAGTCATTAGTCAATGATAAATAACAGATCTGCTCTGACAAGTCATCCATAACACAAAAGATAAAAAAAGAGATATATGAAAGGCATGACTATAAGCACCCACAATACTTCAACAACTTCCTACAAAAATTCAGTTCTGTAGATAGAAACTAAACTCTATCAGTTAAAAAGAAACCTTGCATATTTGACAAGAAGCAGTGCAATAAACTAAATAAAATCTGCTTAACAATATTATTAAACCATCCTCCTCTCTTCCCTTTACGTGAGTTCAATTACTCTGTTCTACAGATTATCTGTACATTTCAGTTCTAACAAGTCCTTTTCTGTCTCCATCCATGCTGATGCTGAAAGTTCAGTCTGTCCAGTCAGAATTATGGCATAAGTTTAAAACTGGTTTACGCCGAAAATGTCCACTCAACAGAAACAATGGACATGAATAAGACCAGGATGAAGCTATACTTAAACTCTTAGTTTTAACATCCTCTTCCTCTCTGCTTTAGTGGAAAGTAGAAAACAGTCATCAATGACAGAGAGTCCATGAACACATCATTTCTCTCTGTCTATTTCCTGCTTAGAAGAGAATGTCCCAACTCATCATCATGGTTAGAGAGACCACACTCTTTAGAAACACATTTCTACAATAAGAAACTATAGAAATGATCCCTGAAAGTATAGTCTTGATGATCGACTGAGTGAAGACAAGATCCCATGTTAATGACTGTCCTTTTGACTGAGGGGTTTCTTCAACAGTCACTGAAGTCCTAACTAAATCATATTAGTCACTGGATTTATCGACTCTAATCTTCAAGTTTTGATAATAAACACTGTTTTTCAGAAACAGTGGAATCTTATTATATGATTTCACAGACAGTTGCTTTAAGCTCTTTTTATTTTGAAAATAACACTTACAGAAATGACTCTGCCTCCACAGCCGCACTGAATCACCTGTGATTCTTCTCCACAGGTTCTTTATCGGTGTTTCTACCTGAGCTCTTCCACCACAGCCAGGCTGTCTCTGCTCCTTCAGTGGAAACTAGTTTATTCCATTCATCATCAGTTCATTCATTGAGTGGAAACGTGTCGTTTGCTGAAAGAAGCTTTTATTATAGTTCTTGTCAGTTTTGACAGACAGACATCAAACTTTATTCAGTGAAATCTTTTAGTGTTTCGATCAGCAGCTCTCTTCCTTCACAACCATGATGTCCTTCCTGGTCAGTCTGTGGAGAAGGAAAGATGAGGTGGCTGTTAATATTTACTCATTTTATTGGTGTTTTTACTGGAGCTCCATAAAGTCAGAGTGTATACTAGGTTCATTTATATGAACACCAAGCTTCGATTCCATGTGTGTGTTTTTTAAAAACTGCGATTTTGATCAAATGAAGATGATTGAAATGTTTCTGCCCAAACCTGTGGCTCAGCGGGAGAGGGGGCAACTTCATCCCCCGACCCCCTCCAAAAATGTTTTTTTTTGTCTCATATCTGAAACCAATGCCTGTTCCGTTCATGTGTAGACACATGTGAACGTGTCCAGAGAGGAGCAGCTGTGTTTACTCACTGGATCTCAGCACACAGCGTGCACTCGTTGGCATAAGTGTTACCATCGCTGCCGCACACGGGAGCCAGATTCAGAGGACAGGCCAGGAGCTCGTCTGTGTTAGGACAGAGTGGCTGCAGCGAGAGACAACAGTCAGATAACGTAGACTTTAACACGTCAAACACACACACACTGCTCTACATTAAGGCACCTTTCTCGCGACTCCTGAGACCTTCCCTGCATCTGTGTGAAGACAAAGGACGTGACAGAGGGAGATGAAAGTGAAAGCTGAACACCAACTGTAACAACCACACATCAGTGGAAAAAAAATGTTTCAAGAAATATTAACATAAAAACATGGAAACTTCATCATCAATAGGTTCCTGTCTCAGCTAAAACCACATTTATTTATTTATTTTCTTTTTCATTTTCTTACCTGCAGCCAAACAGATCAGCAGCAGTCCGAGGAGAACAGCCTTTCCAGTCATGGTGTTGGTGGATGAATAACCTGCACTGAGCTCTGTGTCTGTTTTATGTGGCAGTAAAACCCTGTCAGGTGTGTCAGTGTGGGAACACAGCAGCTGATAGCAGAAACACCATCACATGCACGTTCTAGAAACATTGAACTCTTGGCAAACGCCCACACACAAACAAACACCACAGTACTTTATGGACATTTTGTTTTTGTTCACTTTAAATAAGTTCATGATGGGCACAAAAAGGTAGTTAAAATGTCTTTGAGGAAATTTGAATAACAGTAATCCTTGCTTAGATGGATGGAGCTTTGAGCTGTTGGTAAATAACTTTCTACATTGTAACAATAAGACCAGGATAAAGGTAAACATTTAATTTTAACATTTAGCTGAACCACTCTGAACACATGCTCTTTCTCTCTGCTTCATAGAGAACAGTCATCAATGACAAAGAGTCCATGAACACATCATTTCTCTCTGTCTATTTCCTGCTTAGAAGAGAATGTCCCAACTCATCATCATGGTTAGTGAGACCACACTCTTTAGAAACACATTTCCACAATAAGAAACTATAGAAATGATCCCTGAAAGTATAATCTTGATGATTGACTGAGTGAAGACAAGATCCCATGTTAATGACTGTCCTTCTGACTGAGAGGTTTCTTCAACAGTCACTGAAGTCCTAACTAAATCATATTAGTCACTCTGATTTAGCTACCCAATTAGCTAAATATATGGAGTATTACCTACCACAAATACTGCAATATTCAACATAATTTGTTTATTTGGTGTTGATAAGAGAGCAGTAGCAAATATCTGAATCGATACATTGATCTAAAGTACTGTATGTTACTATAAGGAACATGTTATGAAAAGTATTAAATGACCAGTATTTTTGTGTGTTTTATGGAGTTAAAAATTGTTTCAATATTTGTAAGAAATTTGGCAAAGAAATTGCCAAAAAATAATCAGTATCATATCGAGTCAATGAATTCTGGTATCGCCCATTAATATTTTTAACCTAATAATAATATGATAATGATTTATATCTGTTGTTGATCTTAAAAAAACAAACTCTTTTCAGTCACTTCCATGATATTATTTTGTTTTGTTTGTAATTCAATCCACACTGCAGTATAAATACACCACCATCATGGATGATTATTAAATATACAGCATGAACCGTGTGACTGTGATTTATATGTGGAACACTAAAAAAAGTCAGTCAAAAAGTCAGATTTTTGTCTTATTTATTAAAGAGTAACTTATCACAATAACAGACACAAACAGTTATTCAATACTTAGAAATGTAAACAAACAATAATATTGAGCACAGGAAGAGAAGAATTACCACCATTACATTTTTTTTTCCCCTCACATCGCGATTAGGAGATCTCTCTCTGTCGTAGTGCAGATAAAAGTAAATAATATTAACTATAACCTCAGTATATCTGGGGAAAAAAGGCTGTGAATTGTGCCTGTAAAGTGCTAATTTAAAAAAAAAAAGAAGAACATTTATAACTGTTTTTGAACAGTGAAAGAGTTGAACACACATGTTGAAATGACGTGGTCCCTGTTCATGTGTACTCTCTTTTACTGACTATCTCTGGATACAAACGCACCTTTAACCTTATCTGAGATAATGTAATGAGCCTCTTAATGTTATTGGACATAAAGGCTACAGTTTGGCAACATCACTTCAGGATGAGATAGCTGCTTCTACTCTAAGTCTGATGAAGAGCAAGTGTCCTGTCGCAGAGAATAAAAAGTGAATTAAAAGTTAACGTACATTTTCAGTTGACGATCACATTCCTAGAAATGGTTTGCCTACCCAGGATTATGCTGGTTGATCAGAGATACATTTGTAGCTTCATTTGGCACAGATACATTTGTTTCACTCCACTGGGAACGTTAGACAGTACAACATCACACAGCGGTGCTGGCTCAGCTCTGACACGCCTCCACTGTGCTCGTACATGTGCGCGTACACATAAATGGAACAGGCATTGATTTCAGATATGATACAAAAAAAACATTTTTGAGGGGTGAAGTCGTCCCCTCTACCACTGATCCACAGGTTTGGGCAGAAACATCTCCATCATCTTCATTTGATCAAAATCGCACAGATATTAAAATAACACACATGGAATTGAAGCCTGGTGTTCTTATACGCGAACCTCAGTCCTCCACAGTCCCGGACATGCTGACCCGACTGGTGGCTTCAGGCAAACACACAGAAGTGCTAATAGTTGGGATGTGTAGCCCAGTGTAGCATGCACTTTACAGGGAATCCTTTACTTTCCAAATCTGGTTTCACCTTGTTCTCATTAATCAAATCCATAAAAAATGGTAGGTTTGAAAAAATAAACCAGTATTAAACACTGATCTGAAGTAAGTATGGATTGGCTCCATACCAAATGTCACATCCGATATTGCAATTTGAAGTATCTGCCGATAACGATGTCATTTCTAACCCTTTTTTCTTCCTCCAGTTTCCTGGACTTAGACTGAGGTATCAGAGCGGCTGACTTATGATTTAATTTTTTCAATGCTCAATCCTGAAATTTTGACCAATATCAGACCGATATTGATCCCGAGGATCGGATCGAGCCTTCAGCAGTTATCACAGTCAGAAGCTCATAGTTGTGCTTTGATCCATGTTGCTGTCTGTCTCGTACATCCCTCACCATCTTTCATGGACTGCTGTTAATGGAGTGCTGACATTGTCCGTCTCCTTTCATATAATACAGGCACGATGGGGGACAATGTCAAAGATGTCAGGACAAAAAATAAAAAATAAAATAACTGGATCTTCTGTTATGAATAAAGTATCCAAACAATATGAACAGTTTCAAATGTAACAAGTTTCCAGAGGATAGCAAACACTTTTATAAACGTAGTTCATTATAAAACAAAAAGCCTAATCATGAAAATAGGTTTTGAAAGTGGGTTGACCCTGAATAGAGGACAAAGTCAGAGAGACTTTTCTAATTGGCAGTAACTTATCCAAACGACCTCCTGTTTTCCATCTCAGTGTAGCACAGACCGGTTCATGCTGGCTGAAGCAGACTAGATCTTGGAATGGGACGTCACACAGTACTGACGTCTGCTTCTCTTTTTTCAAATGTCTTGTCCTTCACATTAGTAGCTGGGCTACTGAACCCCCCAGACTAACACAGCAGTATCACTCCACTGTCTTCAAGTGTTCGTTGTCCACCGGTGAAGGAGAAGCACCAGTCTCCCACCCCCACTGGAATATCATCTTATTATAAATATATATAATATAATATATGCATTGACTTGCATTGAGTTTTCAGTGTCTGTCTCCAAACCTGCGGCCGCTGCCTGTTTTTGAGAAGGCAGCTCGAGGTGGAGCGCAGGAACACGGATAAAAATTGAAAAAGACTACAAAAAGGAATTAAAAAAAAGAAAAGAAAAAAAAGTCGTTGTTCTCCCCTCAGGTTAGTGGTCCATGTCTTCTTGAAGTGGGGGGAGGACGGGGGAGGCACGACAACACCCACTGATGTTGGTATGTCATAAAATCAGACGCAGCTTTCCCTGGTCTTGTTGTCCATGAGGAAGGAGTTCAACTGGGAACAGTCCACCACCACTGCATCCCGTTTATTCAGATGGACATCTTTCAAACTGTCCTCGTCACTTTGGTCCTTGGCGAAATTTACAAACACCTACAAAGAAAACGACAAGGACATTAATCTTCACTGGATTAAAAACAAAAAATCTGCAGTAAGCAGATTGGGCACAATGACTTACTTGGTCCAAGGTGGTCTGGGAGACGGAGTAGTCCTCTATGCTGAGCGCCTCCTTGTGGACAGACAGCAGGGAGAAGATGCGGGCGAGAGAGGTGAGAGACGAGGCCAGCTGGTACTGCAGCATGTTACGGTGTCTCTCCTTTAACGTGCTCCCTGGAAGCTCCCGTTCAATGAACTCCATCACAGGTCGAAGGTCAGGGTCTGGCCCTGCCACTCGCAGAATGATGGTGTAACCATCTCCAAACCTGAGGATGAGGAGAAGAAAAAATAAACTCATTCAATCAAACTGAAGGCGGAAGGTCAGTTCTAACAATTTTAGTATCTGTGTCGTAGACAGTGGGTGAGACCAGGGGTTCCCAAACTTTTCCATGCCAAGGCCTCCCAAACAGTATTTGCTTCTGGACGGGGAACCCCTTGGCAAGCCCAAAGACAACACTACGAAATATGTATAGAAAGGCTAAAATGCTTTTATCATTTTCTACAACATCTATTGAGGAAACGTGGATATTGCAGGGAAAAGGCAGATGTATAAGGATAATATAAATAAATTATATAATTTGGAAAAGTTTGGGGGCCGGATTAAAAAGCTGAACAGGCCACATAAGGCCCCCGGGCCTTAGTTTGCCCATGCCTGATCTAGGCGTTCTCTCAGAAACTTTAGAATCTGCACTGGGTTGGACCACACAGCTTTTCACAGGCCTGTCCATCAATGACAGCAAGTTGTTGAATGTGTGTGTGAGTGTGCTGCTTTGGTGGAGTTGTGTACCTGTTCTTGAGGTGCTGCACGCTGCCCAGGCAACGGAACCTGCCATTCACCATGATAGCCATCCTGGTACAAAGAGCTTCACACTCTTCCATACTGTGAAGGCACATGGATAATGACAGTTAGAAAAAGTTGTTGAAATGTTGAAGTAAAACCTAATAAAAACCATTATTATAGGTGAAGTGCAGATGACCAGACTGACCTGTGAGAGGTCAACACTACAGATCGCCCCTCTTTGATGATGCTGAGGATGGCGTTCCATAAGGCTCGTCTCGCCTTAGGGTCCATGCCCGTCGTTGGTTCGTCCTGTGAACAGGAATCGACAGATTGTTACGTGATGTTGGATGAATGGGATCGATGTTTTATGAAAGAAACCGTGGTTTTGGACTGACCAGAAAGACCACAGGTGGACCTCCTATGAGAGCGATGGCAGTGGACAGTTTCCTCATGTTTCCTCCACTGTAGCTTCCTGCAGCTTTGTCCACGTACTTTACCAAGCCCAGCTTTCTGATTCCCCACTCTGCCACCTAGTGGCATAAACATTAAGCGTTCATTCACATTGATCAACGACAAACAACTTGAAACCATATTCTTTTTTCATTAACGAAGCAGATATCATTAATAATAGCAGCTGACCTCGCACACTTCTTTCTCTGGAACTCCTCTCAGGATGGCGTAAAACTCCAGATGCTCTCTTCCAGTCAGTAAGTCATTAATAGCATCAAACTGAGGACAGTAACCCATGTTCTGGTGCACTTCATTGATCTCTGTGTTAACACTACAATAAAAAACAGAAACAAAACACAGGAATGTTATGATTATGAATGAGAAGGATTCAAATATAATTCTAAAGAAATATTTCTATTTACCTCTATCTTGTATTTACATTTTAATTAAATACAACAGGAAATTTAAAAAGTATTTATCAAATGCCTTCATATGATGTGAATTCTGATGAAGGTCTCGGTCTTACCTTTTGCCTGCCAGGTAGGCCTCCCCACTGGTCACCACTGAGTCTCCGGTCAGCATTTTAAAAGTGCTGGTTTTCCCGGCACCGTTGACTCCCAGCAAACCAAAACACTGTGGAAACAGGAAGACGATGTATCAGTGACTGCAGGTCCTTGTTGTCATGTTAATAATAAACACCATCAGACGTTGTAGTGAGGTGATAGTTAAAGCAGTAGATCATAGGACCAGTCAGAGTTGGAGTGTTCTGTCTCACCTCTCCCGGGGGAATCCCAACACACAGCCGATCCACCGCCGGCTTCTGTTTCCGCTTGTAAATCTTGGTGAGTTCTCTCAGCTCCAGGATGTCAGACTGTCCTCCTCCTCCTAAAATCCTCTGTCGCTCTCTGGCCACGTCTTCATCCTCTTCTCCAATGGGCTTCAGATGACTGGCAGAGGATCTGATAACAGCAGCAGAGAGAGTGACATCACTACAGTGACGGGTCTCAGTGATTACTGTGGCGTTTGGCACAGTGGTTTAAAAGTGATTTCCACCCACCTGGCTTTGAAGAAGAAGTGATACTGAATCAGCACAGTGATAGTGAAGAAGATGACGCCCTCTATTGCCATTGCAAACAGGTTTTTTCCCACCATGTCCCAGGCCAGGGGTGAACGGAAACGGTTTTCGCCTACGACAGAAACATTTCAAAGCTCAGTGGAAATACATTGAAGAAAATGTGTTTATCCTTTACAGTAAAATCAAGTACATTTTTGAGGCTCAATAATACAGCATTCACTCACCAAACCTCTCTAGAGCATCAGCCATGGCCTGATTCTTCACCATGTCAATCAGTCCTCTGCCCAGACAGAAGTGTGGAAAGATAAGGAACACGTTCTTCAGGATGTCATTGATGCCGCCAATTTCCTGAAACATAAAGCATATAACATTTAGTTACACATCCATGCTATAGTAACACATAATGTTTATGTAGTCCATTCCATATTGCTTACGTTACTCCCGAATAGTTCCAGGACAAATGTGGAGACACTGCCATTGATTCCTATCAGTATGTTGACGCTGGTTAAAACTACGTAGGCTGTGCTGGGGATCTTAAAGAAGAATGATGCTGGGTACATCAGGGGTGTGATCGACCACCTGAAGAAAAAAACAGACGTGCATCAGTTTATATGACATCAATAAAACAAAAGTCACATAAACAAGCTATGAGCCAAAAAGCATAATGAAGTCGGACGGACCCATAAAGCAGCAGCAGCAGGGCCAGCACCGGCAGATTAGTGGAGGACACGTAGGCGTCTTGTTGGAAACAAATAAAGATGATGATAACCAGAGTGGCTGGAACAATGTAGTTGCACTGCAAAGATGAGGAACAGCACACAGGTCAGCACTAGAAAAGGTTCAACAGAGTTTTCCTGATTTATTTGGTGCTGGAATGTGACTTCTTACCATGTCCCATACAAAGTTGGCCAGCCAGTACAGGAGGGGCTGAACTCCACTGATGAACTGCATGTGCTTTGCCTTGTTCACTCGCTCTTGAATGAGGAAAACCACAAAACTGGCCGGGACAAATGACATGGCAAAGATCACGCAAATTGACACCAGAACGTCCACTGAAGTCGTCATCCTAACGGAAAGAGAGTGGAAAATAAAATGTGAGCTTCCTACAAAAAAAAAAAAGGAATAATTACATCCCTAAAAATGTTCGTCCACTTACAGTGCAACCTGCGATAACTGCTCCTTTGTAAGGTTGAGGGGGTGATTGTGGGCAGTGATGCCAAACTTTGCTGGGTTTTTGCCAGGTGGAAGGCTTGCCCGGAGGATGGCGTTGTTCATCACGTTGAGAAAAGAGCCGATGCTGTGCCAGCCTTTGTTATTGAACCAGATCTGAATAGAAAAAAGAAAAATGATTCTTTAACTCTGTCTAAGGTTGTTCTTTCAACAGGGGTCGCCAGAGGGCGTTGATGCAAAGGATGGTATTAAAGTGACAGATACAGTGTGTGTGTGTGTGTGTGTGTGTGTGTATACTAACCTTGACATTATTATTTGTGTCCAATCCTTGGATAAAACTGGAGAGACTGTGGAAGAAACGATCTGCTGCAGTTCCCTGCAGAAAAGGCGGAGGAATAAAATCTTTTTCAGCATTATAGTTCACAAGACTTTCATTCAGAGTTTGTATAGAAAAAAAGAAAATTTAACAATTTAATTAGGCTACTGTAGATGAGTGTAATGTGTTACAAAGTAAGGTATTGAATTTCTTACCCGTTCCAGATGGAAGCGTTTCCTCAAATGTGCGATTGCAACATCGATTTCATCTTTGTGGGACAAAAGCTGAGAACCTCTGGCACCCAGTGAGAATCCACCGTATCTGTGGACAGTCCAGTCATATTTCCATGAGTGATGGACACAGCACAGCACAGCAGAGCAGCTGAATGCACTCAGTTTACTATTATTGATGAAACATGAGTATTGAATGTCTGGTAATGTACCTGAACTCATTGACCCAGATCTTGTTCTTCAGGCTATAAAAAGAAGAACAATAATGATTGAAACCATCTGAAGTTGGAGGAGAGTGGATCAGATGATAATGACGACATAAAGATGACCGTTACCTCTTGCCAATAATCTGGGCATATGTTTTCACCAGGTAGTCTGAGATGTTTCTGCCAGTCAAATTCTGAAGTGTGTCTGTGTCACTGATTTTCACCTGAACATCCAGACCAGAAACAAATCGAATTAAACATTTTGTTGATTTCACTGGTTCCGCTTCATTTTTACATCTCTGAACATTTGCTGTGACAAACCTGCGGTGGTGGAAGTCCACCAGCTCCAGCCGGACACTCTGGCAGCATTCTCTTGCGGCCTTCACAGCTGCATTCACAGAGGGGCGATGGATGCTCCATTGTCCAGTTGCCTTTGTCAAATATGTCTTTCAGGCCCTGAGAGACTTGTGGCAGTGACCACTCGCCTACTGCATTGCAAGATGCATTCCTAAAGGACGCATTAAGGTGGCATTAACACAAGTTCATAATGTACACTGAAGCTTCTGTTTACAAGCCTCTTTTTAAATAATAATAATAATAATAATACATACAAAATAGAGGCTCCGTCCATGCAACGTGTTCCAAAACCTGGTTTTTCTGTCAGAGCTCCCAGTAATTTAGATGTGTGTGAATCCTCAGGTAAGTCATTACTGTAAAAAAACAACACACAGGAAAATCAGCCTTTCAGATGTCAAGAATTTGAGCAAATGTAATGTTGGTATTAAGTCATGATGGTGAATCTAGACAACACTCATATTCATATTAGTTTTCAATCAGATAATAAATTTACAGTCAAGTAATATTTAACACCATCACAGGTTTTAGAACATTAGCACAAAGGTTAAAGGTTAAATCAGATGGGGTTTTTTGTTTTTAATGGATTATTATTCAAAACCTTTTTCCAAAAACATTTTTTTTACCTGATAAAGGTGAACTGCTCTCCATACATGCCAGGATCCAAAGCCAAACTGGGATACTTTCCGAACGGAGGAACAATCAAGCTGAACACCAGAGCGATGCAGACAAACACTGCAGGGAGAACAATCTGAAAAACAACACAGAGACACGGGTTACATCCAAATAATGTTGTCTACGTCAACTGAAGGAGGATTTACTCAAACCAAAATCATCATTAATACCTGAGCAAGAAATCCCTTCCGGGAACGCCGAGCATAAAGGAATCGTTTCCAGAGTAGTGCAACAAACTGCTGTCTTTTTAGACTCCAGCCTTTGACCTGGTATGAGCCTTTGCCATCTGTTCCACTGAGCCAATCAGTCTCACGGGATTCTGGACAGAAACAGCACATATAATCAGATGGCCTGTAATCTAATAACACTTTTACTTTTGTTTGATTTTGTTGCAAACTAAAATAAAAAATAGAGCTGGATAGATTTTCTTCATTATTTACAAAGTAATTTTTATTAAAATACTGTATAAGAATGGAAACGTGATTTGTCAAGGTCACCTTCAGAGTCATTGAAATCAAAGTCATCTTCGGTGAAGGGCTTCAGACAGCTCTGGTGGTCTCCAAAAGCGTGACGACGACGAGTCCTGGTTGGTACGACTCCATCTGCATGGGCAAAAGTGTTCACCGTTAACCCAACAACTTTAATACAACAGGGCTGCAGTATTAGACAGTACTTTGTTTCTGTCATTTTTAGTTGAGTGCAGAATGTCAAATTATTAAAATCCTACCTGACAGCTGGACAGTGTCCACTCCACTGTCCTCGGCAACTTTCAAGAAGATCTGCAGAAATGTAATTTTGTGTGTCATAAAGTGTCATCACATACAACGTACACAGAAGAAAGACGGAAACAAGAAGAAACATGTGTCCCTCACCTCCTCCAGGGTGGTGTCAGATATCCCATAGCTGGATATTCCCAGATCCGTTAGTCGGTCATCGAGCTCGTGGAAGAGTTCCACAAAGGTCCCATCCTTGGCAGATTGGTAGGGTAGGACGTAGGTAATTTCGTGGCCAAGATCCTCCACTAGGCGAGACTCTGGGACGTGCTTGAATATGATATTAGAGATGAGGGACACATCTGTAGGACGAGGACAGACACAAAGGACACGGAGTGTTCAGAGTTGACCTTACACCACGTCAGCAGTGAAATTGAAGTCCTTCATGACACAAGGTTTCTCACCAATGGTGGTGGTTTCACTCTCTGGTTCACTGCCCAGTCCAGCGTCTGAACTGCTCTCTGACACACTGTCCTCCTACAGGGGTAAAGAGGAGTAGACCATTACAGTAACGTCTGGAAAAGAACAGCCCTCCATCATCATGTATGTACTTCCTCCTACCTTCTCGCTCGTCTTCTTGCTGTAGCACACCGTACTGGCAGAGTTCCTGCAGGAGTGTAGCGCCAGGTCGTAGTCTCTTTTAACCAGCGTCAGATAGTACCCTGTTCCCAATTGGGTTTTCAGGAAGAGTGAAGAGCCCACGCAGCACAGCTTGCCGTGCGAAATGATGGCAATACGATCGCCCAGTATGTCAGCCTCATCCATGTGATGAGTCGACAGGATAATGGTTCGACCTTTTAGAAAAACAAACAAACACATGGCTTAATTTCTAAAATCTGAAAAAAAGAAGAAACAAACTACTAGACAACTACTCAGAACAGTTTTTACCTTGTCTGTATTTCAGCAGCAGGTCCCAGATGCCCCTACGTGCGTAAGGATCCACCCCGGCTGTAGGTTCATCCAAAATCACAACCTTTGAGCCACCAACAAAAGCAAGAGCCACTGAGAGCTTCCTCTGCATCCCACCTACAAAGGCATCAAAGAAGATGTTTTATTTACATCGCAGTGGGTGTTTTTTAGTTGTTACGCTGCTCCTGGTGTTAAACCGTCAACACTGACCTGACAGGGTGTTGGAGCGAGACTTTCGTTTGTGAGGCAGTCCAACATCGTTCACGATCTGATCCATCTCAGCCTCCACCTGCTCCTTAGGAAGCCCCTTAAGACGGGCGTAAAACCAGATGTGCTCCTCGACAGTCAGCCTAGAAGTAATCAAGTCGGTTATCACACGTTGTTTGAAGAGACCTGAACATATACAGAATCCAGTGTGTGTGTGCTCGTTACTGTCTTACATGCTGAAGAGGACGTTGTGCTGAGGACAGACCCCCAGGTTCTGTCTGATGGTGCTGAGCTCGGTGCGAATGTCTTTGCCGAGGATGTACGCTGTACCAGAGGTGGGAGGGAACAATCCCGTCAGGATTGACCTACAGGAAGAAATGAAATGATATTGAGCTTTTGAAATGATGAACCATTGATTTCCACTGAATCAATGTCCTCTTAGAAGTCCATGGTTCTAGTGTCGTCATGCTCTTACATGGTTGTGGTTTTCCCTGCCCCGTTGTGTCCGAGAAAGGAGGTGATCTGTCCCTCATAGAACTTCAGTGTCAGGCCGTCCACAGCCAGCTTCTTCCCATGGCTGTAGACCTTGATCAGGTTCTCGATGTAAACACCTGGATCAATTTGTCCTGGCTCCTCCTCAATACACACTGCTGTGGATGAAATGAAATGACGGAAATGAGAAACAGAATTTTAGTGGTTACAGAGGACAGTGTGAGGTATGGCTTAATGTATAGATAATAATAATAATAATAATAATATTAATAATAATAATAATAATAACAATAATGCATACCATCAGCATTGCCCTTCTTGGACAGGCTGGAGGCGATGTCCTTGTTTTGCTTCTCTCCACACCAGTATGTTCTCGTAAAAGGAAAATACCAAGGTCTGGGGATTCCATACTGACCTGATATTTAAAAACAAAAAAAAAAAAAACAATTTTAAAAAACTGCTATAATAGAACAGAAATAGACAGAATAAGAAGCCCTTTTCTTACCAGGAAACACAGCCTCAATGTACCAGGTCATTATTCCGTACAGGACAGCGTCAAACAGCATGAGACAGATGGAGGTGGTGAGGTTGTAGCTGTCTTCCTCAAGAGGACTAGCCAGCAGATTGGACCACTGGATCCCCACACCTTGTTCCTCAAACAATGATAAGTATTCACATCCAAACCCAAAAGCCACAGGTGAGAGCAGGCTCTGTGAACAACAGAGAAACACGGGTTTAGTGGGAAACAACGGCAACTGAAACGCATGGTTTAACAATTCTCTTTGTTTTTCTACACACCACAACGATTTTGGCTCCAAAGCCGATGTAGTCTTGCCAGGCCACACACAGCACGTAGGGCAGGTATAGAGTGAAGTAAAATATGCCCCCACAGGCAGCTGCCAGGTTAGCGCGAGAGAACAGGGTGCTAATGAGGAAACACTGCATGATGGTAACCACACCGAATGATCCCAGGAAGAGAAACACCACGCCAGAGTCACTGTAGGGCAGCAGGTTTCCCATCTGAGGAGACAGAATGATCCATTAATGATGTGTCCAGTTTTCTTTTTATAATTAATGACTCTGCTGTGCCGTGGTTCGTCTGTGTGTACTTATATCTCCAAAGCTAACCTTTAGAAGCATCACCAACAAGCCCGCGCTGGTCAGCAGAGGGATTAGACTGCTGATGAACCAGCTGAGCCACAGGATGCCGTTGTTCAGTCCCATGATTCTCATCGTCTCCTTCAGCCTGGCTTCTTTCTCGTACACAACGCCTTTGATGATGATGGCCACAGAGTACATCCATGCCAGCGTCATGAAGAGAGGCATGGATCGACTCATAACCCGAAGGAACCTGCAACCGGCAACAAAAAATGAGTCCCCCGCTCCGTAGTTAGTGTGCCTAGCGTTCCCTCCAACCTGTCAGACGCTGCACTTACATGTCATCAACATAACAGGGGTAGGGCATCTGCTGAATGTAGACGCCGGTCCTCTCCTTGGTGCCAGTGACAGCTCTGATGATGCCTTGCTCAATGACGTCCTGCAGGTAAGAGAATCCTCCCCAAATGTACCGAAGATCTTCAAAAGGGTCTGCTCTGGGACCAGGATCCCAGTACCTGAGGAAATTAAACTCAGGTTTCGTAAAACTGAAAATGATCCTGTAATAATCACTGATAACAGGCACCTACCCGTCTTTAATCTTATTTGTCCTCTCCACATTATCGATGTCCATGCGGATCTTGTAGTTGATGTTGGGAGGCAGGTCGGTGCTGTTGGCCCCGTCGACGTCAGGAAACACAATTCCGGCCCAGAATTTCTGGTTGTGCAAGAGACCCATGGACTTGTTGACCAGTCTCTCCTCATTAGCTACAGGCTCCAGCTTGTCCAGGTTCACACACTGGAGAGAAGAAAGGACGTTTTTGACATATTTAAGTAAACAGACCCAGGTTTTACACTGAGGAAGGACACTGGGTGTTTAGTTCGGAGGTCGGGTTTTTCTACTGTAAACTTTGTGCTATGGATGCTGGGTTTGATTTTGAACCACATACTTAGCGCCTCCTAGGGAGGCGCTAAGTGTTTCCCCAGTGTGTGATCAATAAAATTCATGAAATAAAAAAAATAAAATTTAACTTGCAAAGCCATTACTCTAGAACTAATCAAATCAGGTTTCATAACAACATTCATGTCTTTGTTTGTAACAGAACAGATAAAAAAACAAAAATAATTCTCATTCACTGTTGCATGAACATTGATTAACATTTGGATTCAGTCCAGGTCTGGTTGTCTATCATTTGAGCTACGCTCTGACCCCATAACAGAGACAGACACCAGTGAAACAGTCTGGCTGATAATTTGATTTTAGAGCTATTAAGAGCTTCACAGAGAGCAACAAATGACACTGAGAGGCTGTTTTGTTCTGACCCACATGGACAATTGGTACTTAACCCATTTCTTGGTTTAATTTCATCTGGAATGATTCACATTTACTGCTGTTGTCTTTAAAAAGGACGCAGTAATGTAATTAAACTGTGCACACAGGCTGAAGACACACTGTAACATGTGGGAGCTTTGACTAACCTCCATAAAGCGTGATATGGTTTGTACAGCCTGGTCCGTTTCGTTGAAAACCTCTCTCCAGGTGTAAGCTGATCCTGCAGGCCGCTGGTCCTCAGACGCCTTTGACAGGAAGTCAAACACGTCTGACACACGCCACTCAGTTCCACTGAGCTGGGCATTGAGGAATGCAGCACTTGCATTGTTCTGTAGCAGGGTCTGAAAAGTGGAATTCACATTACTATCATTTCAGTTTACTGAGATAAATTCATTAAAATAACTCGAAGTGATGGGAAATACTTGTGAGGTTAAGAGTTGTTTTTTTAACTCCCCCTAAAGCTAAAAATGTCAGACACAAGTGTCGGGCCTAGCGTTCAGCACCCCATTTCACCACAGGGTGGCAGCAGTGCTTATGTAATTTTCCCAAGAAAATATGTCTTTCCTGACAAATGGCTGCAAAACAATTTTGATGAGCTGTATCAGTAAATATTGTGACACTTGCATGAATACAGAATGTACTGGACACAGTCATGTGGGAGAGACAAGAACTTCTCTGTCTCTCTGCTTCTATTTGCGGCTGTATGTTAATGAAGAAGTGTGGCCCATGCTGTTGTTCCATGTGTTTATCTGATTTCTGACAGTTTGCATAATCTTCTGTGCATTACGCTTGGCTTAATCCCATTCATTTCAATATTTTGTCAAGTTTACCAGCGTCCACATGTGTCTTTGTCAGCCTGAGTTCATTTTCTGGCATATAGTGCATCAATGTTTCCAAAACTAATGAGGTTTGTGTAATGATTATACACAACACACTAATGTGACAAAGATGCACAGATGAGTCACTTTAAACAGTAAATGAGCAGGAAAAGAACTGGCCAGGCAACGGTGATGTGTGGTCTTGAACAGCTCAGGTGACTCACCCTAACCAAGTCCATTTCTTCACTATTTTCCATAAAGCTCCAGATTTTGGGTCTGATCTCCTCCCACACTTTGCCTAAATCTCTCAGCACACCAAATTCCTGGAAGGTCTTGTTAACCTACACGCACACAGAAACAGAAAAAGGTTTAGTGTATGTCTTATGTGCTGGTGTGATTCTATTAAGGACAGACGTCAGAGGGCAGTTTGTACTTCATGGATGATCCTCTGGGTGGCTGGGGTGTCTGGCGTGTACAGGATCTTCCCCAGGAGCAGTGGCTTCAAAGCTCTCCAGATCATCCTGGATATGGGGCTGGACTCCAGGTTACGCATCATGTTGTTACAGAAGGGAGCTTCAAATGAAATCGAAATGCAATTTGAGCATTTAATGTATTCTATCGAATAAAAACATACAGGTCAATAGTTCAGGCTGTGGACACGTCTTACTGGAAGTGTTGTCGTAGGCAGAGAGGGGTTCAGTGTCGCTGTCATTGCCATGGGTTCCAAACAGGGCTTTGTAGTTGTTGTCTTCATACCAGTTTAGAGACTTAATTTTGAGGCCACCTCCCTCGGGGTGTCCACAGACTATACGTGACACGGCCTGGTACATCTGTTTTGGAGAGCCCGTGGCATTTGCAGTCAGATACAGGATCTCATTTCTCATATCTCTCCAGCTGTTCATTCCTGCAAACTGGGGGAGAAATACACACAGAAGCACATGGGAAGAGGTTTGTGTTAGTGTTGCCGTATCAGCTTATCAGCTCGCTGTTGTCATCACTCCCTGTTAGTGGTTTACTGGTATTCTGGTCACTTTTGTCCGTATCACAACAGTAACTGGTTTGGGTTGTCACAAGTTAAACAAACAGAACTGTGGAAGTCAAGTGACTGTGTGGGTGTTGACTGTAAACTGTGAAAAGCTGGGAGAAAAAAAGAAAGAAAGAAAGAAAGAAAGAAAGAAAGAAAGAAAGAAAGAAGGAAAGAAAGGAGGGAAAGAAGGAAAGAAAGAAAGTAAGAAAGAAGGGTTGCAGGAAAGCAGGAAGTGGAGACAGGAATAGAAGGCAGAAGAACAAAGAGAGGTTACTATCGGTCACACTCCTAATAAGCACTGCTGCAGGCTTCTCAAGTTCATCACCATGAAAGTGACTACTAAATACACAATTATGCCGACAAACACAAACACGGGGGACGAGGCACAGGACTCGGACACCAGCCTGTAATCACCACTCTGTCAGTCCTCGCTGTGTCCTGCCTGTCCTCTCATGCAGACAAAGTAAGGCAGAGACAACGGTTGTCTCTCACACAGAGACAGTGAGGAGCTGACATTCAGACTCACACTGACATCATTCTCTCTGCCTTTCAGCCGTATTAAACGGTCACATGCTCTCTTGTTTTCCGTGTTTGTGCGGGGATGTTCGGACGGGAACATATCTGGCTCTTGGTGTAGGTGGGTCTTTTACAGTACGTGACTGTCTGTGGGTGTTTTTTAGATAAAAGAGGCGTCTGTGTATTGGTTACATACACCGTTTAGTGTCGCCATCTCTTTTGACCCAAAGCTACAGTATTTATGAAAATATAGCAACATCTAAAGCTGCTACTTTTCCAGCTTTAGATACGAAGATCAGAGTATAGGAACAGTCTCACAGTTTGTTTTTTACCTCAAGCCATAAATAACTTGTTAACTTAGGTAACTGTTTAAACTGACTAATCACGCAGACACACGCACACATACACACACAGGCAGAGAGCCAGGCAGCAGGAGAACCGCCCCAGAGTAACCTTGTTCTAAAGCCTGTCAGAGGTTACTTGAGTGCATTTTTCCACCTCTCTTATTTAAAACACAGCAGCTCGGTGCCAGTCACAATTAAGTTCACATTACTTCATATCTTGAATGGATCTAAAATGGGTCACAAGGTGCATTCATAATGAACTTCCTATAATATCATTTAGAAATTCAGAAATAACATTACCTTTAATTAATGACAATGTTATAAACACCACATTACCAAACTAATCACATCACATTACATTGGATTACCAAATTCTAATTCCTTGACAATATAATGTTCTACTTATAATGTTCTACTTCAGAGGTGTCTTTTTTGGCTTGGAGGATACTTTTCAAATGACCAGGTTAAAACATTAAATGTATGAAGCTGCATGACAGGATATGTCCTATATTCACTGCTTCAGTCGTAGTGATTAGCTTCTAAAAATAGACTTATGTCTACATTGATATTTGTTTAATTTTATTTTTTTACTTAAAAATATCAAACGTCTAGTTTTTCCTTGAATTTATCATCTATACTTATGTAATACAAAATACTAAATGAGTCAAAGTATGCTGCTACAACACGATCATCTGTGTGATTTCCAGTGTTGAGCCTTTAATCCTTCCCACAAAAACATTTTGAAAATACTTGATGTGCACCTTTTAGCCAATAATCCCTGCACTGAAACACAGGCATTGTTTAGGAGAAGTTCTATCAGCAAATTTCTATTTGGCCAAGTCTATGGTGTTTTACCTCCATCACACCAAGTGCACGTCCCCATCTGCTTTGGGGAAATACAGAACTAAAAATATAGAACATTTACTGGCAACATAATAATTACCGACTAGGCTTTGAATGAAAATGCTACATATTTAATGGATGACTCATAAGCTCAAATAACACTGACCTGAAATAAACACAAGCTCTCAGTGCACAGTACATATATTACCATCAAGAGTTAGTGTTCCGTTAATGCTCATTCTCTGGATAACAGCTTGGCTTCTCCCCCTAAAGCTACTGCAGTATTGTACCAGGCAGCAGCTGCTGCTAACAGAGACAGCACAGTCAGACAACACTGTTGCAGGTGCTGTAATTAGGAACATCCTGGTGACAAGAACTGATCTGCAAGAAAGGCAGATTGCTGTGTTTTTGTTTTCAAAGATTATAGTTTTGTCAGACTCTACTAAACCCAGCTGAAAATGTACTGGACAACACCTTCACAGAGAGAATATCAAGAGTTTACAACATTAGTGGTGGGAGAGGAGCTCACCGAGGGAGTTACAGCGAAGTGGAAAAGAAACACTATCACATTTGCAAAGATGCAAAAATGAATTACAAGTAATGAAAGAGAGAGAGGGGAAAGAGACATATGGACAGAGAGAGAGAGAGAGAGAGAACTCCCTACCTCCACAGCAAGTGCACCGAGGCTCTCCAGAAGAATGTCAGTGGCAGCTGAGACTTCCTGAACCACTTTAGGATCTGACCTGACGTCCTTCTGTTGAAGACAAACGGGATCGTTAGTGAATTGCTTCAGCTTAAAATGGGTAAAAAAAAAACAAAAAACCTGACAATACAGGCAAAATGTAGAGAGGGCAAAAAAAATGCAGATACATTATAACAATTAGAACAATTAGAAAAAAAAAATCTATTTTGTCAGTACTGGTTATGGTTGTCACCTGATAAAAACATTTTCATAATCACATATCTGAAAAAACAAGGGTGTGTGTGGTTATTTTTTGTTAACCCTTAAAGTGTTTTTCAACCCCATGTGGCGTCATCTGGAATTCGAATGAGGTCACCTGAAATGTTTGTTAAAAATTAAAACTAATTAATTTGTACTATCTAATTCATTATTATTTTTTTCAAAATCATGATCAAAAACACAACACAGTCTTCCACTGCTGTAAGTGTAGCAACAGGGTCAGTATCATTTTTGTAACTTTGGGAGAATGCAACACTGTAACACTGACTGTGTCTGGTTACATAGTTTGTTTGACCCTAAAACCTGCCCTTCCCTGTCCTGTATCTAATGCTTGATGCACCTGTTGTCCACAAAACAGAGGATACATAAATGACAATCTCACAACCAGTTAATTAGCAGACAAACAACTCACCCGAATAGGTTTCAGAAAGTCCAGATTAGACAGGAAGTGGCTTTGAGCGCTATCTAACCAGTCGCTGGAGGACTTGCAGATAATTTCTTGCGTCATCAGGGACACGTTGTGGTCCGCAATGTGTACAAACTCTTCCAGAGGGGTGCTGTTACACAGGTCTCTCAGATGAAAGCCAAAACCTTTTGTCAGGACCTGGAAAAATGAGAATGTATTTTTAAGAAGAGTGGCGTCAACAGTTTATTTTCTCATCCGTCTCATCTGTCAATTCATATTTCACATGAAGTACAAAATACTTAAATATAAAGCACAGAGAATACTTCTTCATTATAACACTTTTACATCCCATTGAGATTGAGATGTTCCATGTATTTACACCTGACCACGACTTCATAGAATGTTCATAAGTTTAAAGTAAAAGTCTACATTATTAAGAACCTATAATCCTCTTTGTCAACTCAAATGGTTCAGAGTGTCTTGTTACTTGCAGCTGACAGCAGGACTGTTCCTGTCTCTACAATGTAACGTGTCTGGACCATTATACTGTCCAAGGAGTGAAGAACAGATGGTCTGTCTCCTTTGAAGGAGAACAGACCATCGTGCAGAACTGTGTGTGCACCTGTGCTTTTGAGCACGTGTTTCTGTGTATGAAGAGAAAGTGTCGAATATTTCCAATAATGATATGGTGTTTACATTTTTAAACGGTTTAACTGAATATTGAAACAAATCTGGTACAATAGGACCATACATTTCTCATTCACTATTTGATACATTTGAACAGATTTACTGTTTTACATGTCATTACTAGGAAGTACTAGAAAGTACCAAATGCAAAAACCACACTCCATGTACTTAACAGGAGACAAAGCAAACAGTTCCCCATCCACTATCGTGGATTAATGTCCATCTATAATCTATAATCTTGTTTGATAAAAAAAAAAAATCTTGTCAACGGCATCACATGGAATATTCGCCGTTTGTCTTTGAGCCTATGTTTCTGCACGTGAGGAGAAACGGGGGGTGTGGGGGGGAGGGGGGCGGTCACGTGGCTACAGCCAACCAACGGCCCAAGTGGGATGATGTGATGGGCTGCTGGCTGTTGTTGGGGTGGGCAGGATAGTGTGGTGAGAAAACACATGTGACTCTAGTGTGTGTGGAAACAGGAATTGTGGAAGTTATAGCGGGAAGAGGAAGAAAACACTGGTGAGACAAAAGGAAAAAGGAACAGAGAGATTGTCTTATGGTTTATAATAAAGACAGCTCGAGGAGGGGGGTTGGGTGAAGTGTTCGACTGCCTCACCTCCCACCCAGTGATTCTATCTGTGGAGCATTAAGAGCTTAGCTGGGTCACGGCAGAGCTTTGTGTCCCGACAGATGCTGTCCAGTCAAGGTCAAAGGATTATATTTTTAGGCAGTGTAGCCATGGCAACGTGATTATTTCATAAATGAAATGACAAAGAAGCGGGGGGGGGGGGGGGGGGGGGGTACTATGACTTCAATCAAATTCAGTGATTGTTGTCAATATTATTAAACAAGTGAGCAATGGACCAAACAGAAAATCAAAGTATTTAACAGAAGGGCTCACCTTTTCAAGGTTGACATCAGCATCAACGATCTGCTTCAATGCATGGTGAGGTAGCGAGGCATTGTGGTGCAGGAAGTGGGAAAGCGTCTCGTTGTCTCGCAAAAAGTCCTTTAACTTGAAACCTAGACACAGATTGAAGCAAGAAGTTACCACACGAGTTCAAATGGCTGATATATTTACTTTCCCGGAGACCGGATTAAAGAATTCATTGTTGAATTTGAATATGAAATACCATTATGAGTTACACCTTAATATTGGCAGACTGCCTGTTATACCTAGACCATGAATCACTAAGAGGTTATTGTAGGACATTCCACTTCGGCCCAGATGTTTTCTCCCTTTTCCTCTTCTCACTTCCTTACTGTTTTTTCTCTGTGGCTACCTTTCACCTATTTTCTGCTGTGTCCAACTCTGTGCTGTTCTAGTCACTTCCCTATAGAATTCTGCTGGCTTCTATGTGTATTGCTTTAAATAGGGTCTATTTTAGCTCCTCATGCTATACATGAACACAAAGTTTTCAAGACGGGGAAAGTATGAAGGTTCAGAGTTTTCACATGAAAACCCATTCCACAACCTGTTTGTTTTAGTGTGTCAAGCAACAATAACACTAAGCCAATAATGACAAGTTATTTTCATAGTTTTCCTGGTTTAAAGTTTTCTTTAAGAAATGGAAAACTGAAAGGGTGGAAAAATGTCACTTTGTAACAAGTAACAGGAAAATCCTTATTAAAAAAAGTTTTATCTTAAACCTCCCTCATCTTAACATTTTACACATTAAACATTCTAGGGGCAGAAGTGAAGGAGACCAGTATATTTCTGTGTGGCTCCATTACACTGGTGCTCATACACACCGGGTGCACGCCTCATGAGATGGAGGAGTGTGTTTTAGTCTGCGTTTCATTTCTACTCCTGTGGGATTTTGTGCAACTGCACCGCACTGTGTATGCAATTCTCCGGTGTGAACAACGAGGGAGTGCTAATAGGACCTAATCAGTGTCCCAGTAGAAGACACGGCTACAACAGTGCACTGTGACCAGTGACTCTAGGGTACATCCCACCAGGTGATTCCTCGTTAAAGTCAGTATTCCTAGATGTCAGCACCGTGGGCTGTTAATGTTCACTCTCCCTGTATGTGTTTGTGACAGGTGTCTTTGTGTTTTACATCAGTACGTTGATCTTTTTTGATGATTTAATGACATCAAGAAATTGAAGAGAATATAGGTTTACCACTAAATGTATTTGTTTTCTGTCTGTAAACACGATGACCCAGTCCGGTGTGACTTCTCTGCTCATACTGTAGACCAACAGCTTATAGCTGGTATTGACCTTTCCCCTCTTCACTGTCAGTGCAAATCTATATTTCTGAGTCGTCTGCTGCTGAATTATTAACTAACACGTGAGGTGCTCTTTAAACCATGCTGTCATATTTATATTTTCACTCTGCGGCCACAGCCGCTCCGTTTGTCCTCTACTGGCTCCCCACAATCGTGGATTAAAGACTTAGACAAACACACATGCAGCAATGCATTTAGAGTTGATCCACAGTTAAGTATGCACACATATAAGGTTAACAGCATAGTTGAAAATCTGAATAAAAATAGAAAATATATTTATTTATAAAACTGGAGATGTCTGTTTGTTCTTCACTTCTGATTAAAGTCCAAAGATTCCGATCAGTTGTGTAACATATGGAACTGTTGTACTAACAGAGCAGAAGAAACATTTCATTGTTTAATTAGGAAGCGAAAGTACTGACGAAACACACCAATCAATATAGACTTAGACTAAATTAGAAATAGACTAAATTAGAAAATGTAATTGTGTGAGAACTGCCTTATACTGTCACTGACTACAGACGTCCAGCTGAGGTTCACAAACACTTCCATGACAAGGTCCGTTAAACAGTATTGGCGTCTGGTCAGGCTCCCTTTTAAAAACTCACGAGGCACTCTGAAATTCTCAGAGAACAATCTTTCCCAATTCATGGTTATGTGTTTTGTAACACTTTTTGTAAGGAAAGCCATGGCAGAGTTCAACCCTGAGTGCTGTCTTCTGGGGGGGTCCTTTGACCTAATAAACATGATGTTGTTATCACTTTTTATAGTGGTTTCTCAACCTATTACCCCAATGACCGTTTGTTTTTTTTGTCACTTGTATGTGGCATCTGCCAAGGTTGTCAAAGGTCTAATCTTCTTAAACAATATCAGATTTCTATGATGTCTATTTTCCTACTGTGCCCTCTTGTACCGAGACAGTCATTATGGTGCTGGGTTTTGAAGTTATGTACTTGGACAAACATGTGTAAACACCCACTGACATTTGGCAGAGGTGGTCTCAAACTTGGCTGGAGGGAAGCGATAAGACGCAGACATGCTACACCCAGGCAATGAGATGAAATCTCAAGTTGACATTAGTTACATCATCTGCTGCACTGCGTACGTCAAGAGGACAAGTCTCTGTATTTACTTTACCGTCATAAGTAGTCAGACTTTAAACAAATTGACTTCTTTCCTTAAATGTATTGAGTTTTTACTGTCAATACATAAGCTTGTGTCTTACGTGCAGTGTTCTTCTGCAGCTTCCTGAGGGCCCTCAGCAGACCCTTGTAGCCTTCATAGCTCTTATCATTCTGAGAGAAGAGCAAGACCTTTTTGGCATCAATAAACAGGCGGGAGATTCTGATGAATTTGACAGGGGGGAAAGGAGAAACAAAATAACACAGTTAAAGTACTGATTACAAAATGAACAATGTTACAGTGAAGGATTAACTTAGCCCTTACAGTGGGTTGGATACATTGTTAACAGGGACTTACATGGAGTCGTTGAAGTTTCCCACCACTGCAGGACTCTCTCCTGGAGTAGGATTGCGGAAACAGGGGTTGTTGGCGTTGCAGATGATTCCTTGAACCCACGGCAGTGTGCCAGCAGAGGGCATGGCCTTGTTGGGGAAATGGCCTGGAACCAGTAAATTATTAGGAATGAGAAAACGCAACTACATTTCAATAAAAAGATAATGGAATGAGTATTAATTTTTGCAAATGGTGGGAACATTAATTTTCTTGGTTAACTCAATTTGATGGTTAAAATCTGTTGGATAGAAGTAGTAAATAGAGATGGCTCGATACAACTTTTTCATGTCCAATACCAATACTGCAATTTGGAGTATCTGCCCATACCAATATCATTCCGATACCTTCTTTTCTCCTCCAGGAGGGGTGCTGTTACTCAGACAATGTTCCACAAAATTAAGTTGAGCATTTAGGCTTAGCTATCAGATTGGGTTTCTTTTTTCAATCTTCAATTCTGAAATTTTGACCAGGTTTGATACCGACCCTGAGTATCGGATTGAGCCATCCATGGTAGTTAATATGTTTTTAAAATAAAAAAAAGAGCTGAGACTGTGCCAACTTTTTCTATCTTGACATTTTTTCTCCCTTATCAGTGGATTGTTGTTTATTGCTACTGTTGTAAACTGAGGTTAAACAGATATTCAAGGACAACAATAAAAACAAGTGGGTCAGGAGGCCAAACACAGTCTTACTGGGTTAACAAGCGCTGAAATGGTTTTAGTGAAAGACAATTCAAAAGAAACAATAACATTCTTAAACAGGTTTTCAGGGTCAGGAGGAGGAAGCCACCTTCAACACTAAAAAGTACTTTACAGGACACACTGGGTCGTTCACACTTGCATACCTGTGGTCAACTCTAAATGTCTAATTAACACTTAGGCAGTAGTGCAAACAGATGTTCCACTGTGCAGCCTCCTCTTTTATCTTTATATAATAAAAATAAATGTGTTTTCACTAAATTAAACCTAATCGAACCAGTTCCAGTGACAAATATTTCATTTGTATTTCTTTTCCAGGAGCTGTGGGCAGTATCACATGCCCGCAAAGTAAAAACTAATATTGACAAATCCAATAGGTCCTTCTGTGTCAATAACATCGATCTACATAGAACTGCTATGTAAAATAATCCTGTCAGTTTAGTATGATCTAAATCTAAACGTTTTTTATTCTACATACAAACACCAACTAGAAATGCTTGTGTTGACAACAATTGGTTTTTGAGTGTTAATACATTTGGAGTGCAACACGTTCATTTCGGTCTCTCCCTCATTCTGTCTTGGTATGTCTGCTTACATTCATGTTGCTCGTAGGGCGGATAGTGCATTCGGACCGAGATCAGGATGAAGAAAATAAACAGCGGCCAGATAATCTCAATCAGCAGTTGGATCTGAGAAAGGAGAATATAAAAATTGATTTCAAAACAAATAGAGTAAAAGACAGAGACATAGTGAAATCAGGGTTGGTGAACAACAGTGTACCATGAGTCTAGGTTGAAGGGTTCTGTTAGGCAACTGGACCAGTAGCCTAACAGAACTTTTCAACCTTGACCATGACCTGAATGACTGAGAATCTTCATAACCATGAGACTAGGTCATTAAGGAGGACAGTCAGACACATTATATACATTGCCGTTGTTTTACATCAGTCTGTCTCCACTTTCTCTGCCTGTGTCTGGGCCACGACCATCATGGAGACATAATAAAAACTCCACTGTTTCAGAAAATGAACTGTAGCTCTTTGTTAAAAACAACTGGACTGGGAGCCCAGCAGACAACAGCCCATCACTTTGAGGAGCATTTTCAGTTGGATGTATAAATGACCTTATTGTATGCAGATGAGCCTCTTCACATAACAAGTGACACTGTGGCACAGACTATATTGTAATCCACATGACTTTGGGTGTGTGTGGACATCAGTCAGCACAAAATGCAAACGGAAAAAGACTTGGTCATAGTCACGCATTTGAATGTGACTCACTTATGAAATAAAGGACTGTTCACCCTACATCTTCTCTATTGTTCTGGGTCAAAAGGACTGAATACATGCATGTCAAATGTGAAGAAAATAAATTAAATTAAATTAAATTAAGTCTTTGCTGTTTCATAGCCTGGTCATGTGGTCATGACAATGTCATCTGGACCAAAGTAATTGATAAGAAAAACATAATGTTTGTATCAAACAAACAAACGCTGCTGATGAAAGTTCATGTAAGTCGGTCATTCAGAACACTCTCACTTACTGTCTGACGCCGTCGGTAGGTGAAGTTTTTCCATAGCAGTAAACCCAGCTGAGTGGAGACTGCCATGTTGCTGTCTGCCCAACCTCACTGAGTGAACTCCTGCTCCTCACTGTGAACAGAAGAAACAAAGACAAAGTTAACACATGGTATCAAACCTTTAGATATGTTCTAACAAAACAGGAAAAAGGAAATGCTGGCCAATTTATGTAAAAGGCAGATAGGAACTGAATATTAACCTGGGTATTTAAAAGCAATGAAAAGTTCAAAGTGGTAAGTTATCTGAAACTCAGACTACAGTTAGTTATGGCGGCACTCAACCAGAAAAGTCTGCCAAAGTCTCAGAATGGCTGCTGGCCACTGTAGACTGAGGCCCACTTCATCACGACACATCGTTCAAAGGTCATTAATGTTTCAACAAGGAGGACGGCAGCAGAAACATTGACTTCATTTCGTTATTTTGTATTTGATGAGTCAAAAGTCCTGGAACTTTTGTGCAGTCCACTAAGTCCATTCTATGTCATTTCCACGAAAGCGACCAATGCACACAGAAAAGGTGAAGTATTTTAAATGAGTTCTAGTACAGTATTATAAAGACTTTATATTTTTAATCTATCAGTCAGTACTGAAATCTTTAACCCCAAAAGTCAATATAGTTTACAACACATTAAGCAAAAATGTATTCTGAAGTACGTTTCGTTTTCTTAAGGAGTTCAACACTTATTTTTAATTTTCCATTAAACTAAAAGCATGATAGCTTACTATAACATCTTGATGTATATTTTTCATGTTGACTGTCTTTCCCAGAATAAGGCTATCTGATTTTCAGAGGACCTGGAAGAGCAGGCAAACAGATTGAAGGCCAGTTTTATCCAAACATGCCTTTTCCATGTAAATGGATAAACTGAGTTCTGTCGTTCGAACCTCTAACCTTATGAGGTTATAATCCAGACTGGCAGGATCAAACCAATGCAGCCACAAGAATGAACTTTTCTGAAAATGAAAATGATTATGTGATTCAAACATTTCCAACAATAAAATTCCCCGGTTGCATGAGTAATGCTCTCACACTCAGTCAGTCCTCCGCAATTCATAAAATTATGCAATGAAAATCAACAAGAACTTCATGTACTACAAGAACACAATGACTAATATTTGCAGTAAGTGTGCATCTGTTTTTTCTCTCTCAAAATCCCCCAGCACAGTAAAAGGAACATTTTAAATACATCACTGACATCAATGACAATGTTTGGATTGGACCTAATAAGACAGTCACCTGAGAAGAACAACTGTCGGGACAAACGGTTCTGATTAGAGTGTTTTGACTTCTGCTCCTCCATCTTGATTTTTGCTTCATTTTGTAGTTTACTGGGTAAAAGGGTTTCAGATGTTTACTCTTGCTTTAGACCTACAAAGAAAGGGTTCTAAACAGGATGTTTAACAATTCTGCTTAGGATGTTTACATTAAAAAAGAATGAAAATGAATCACTCTTAGTTCTACTTATATTTTTTCTCCTTTTTTCTGCATTGTGATTTGGAATTTTCTTTGTTACAACTGATGTCTTTCATGCAACTCTGTTTGGCAGAGAACTGGTGTTAAAATGTGGATTTTAAAACAGCATATGGCAGAAGACCAACAACCCCCCACAGAGAAAGCACACATTTGCATTTCCATACTTCTTCATTTCCATAATGTGGTCCATAAAGAACAGTGTGGTTGCAAAAGAATCACAGCAACAAATTCCAAAGACCACATATTGAATGGAGTGGCTGTATTTTGTCATGTCCACTTCCACTCCCGAATTTTGCCCTATTTTACCAGTCTAATTGTAGCTGTTTGTGAGGGGGGGTTATTGTCTAGGCTCCATTCTATGTCAATGTTGAAAATCCCATTGAAACATACACAGAATATACTGTATTCTGTGTATGTTTCAATGGGATTTTCGGTGGTTTGTCTGTTCTGAAAACAAATAGTGCGACGCCAAGGCGCCTCTAGTGGTTATACTGTAGATGAATCTTTATTCTCCTCTCTGTTTACCACCACTTCTCGCTCACGTGTACAAACGTGTTTTTTTTCTTCCCTACATCTCCATCGCCTCCTTTGTATCCTGCACACCCCACGCGGTGAATCAAAGTGCCATGTGAATCGATTTTTTTTGTTAAAATATCTCCCAAACAGTTTGTTTTAAATGAAAACTCGCAAGAAAATAGTCTGTCAGTAAACAAAACCGACAATTTATTACGTCGATCAGCTGAAGGCTTATGAACAAAAACGTAAACGTATTTATCAAAATGGAGGAAAATATAAATACCATTATTGTTAAACAGACACACATGCCAAGCAATTTAGAATAACCCAAAGCATGTCGTTTTACAAACAGAAAGACCATGAATCATTTCTGTTTTACATTGTTCCGTTAAAAAAAAGGTTACAGTCGGTCATTCAGCTCCGCGGTGCTGAGCCGCAGCATCGTCAAGATGGCGACAATACATCCTTTAGTACAGTGAACCAACGTTCGATAATAAACTGCAACAAATATCCAACCCTATTCTTCGCTAGTTGCCAAATATGAAATCAAATCCAATGTATCATATGCGGAAAATTTTTCAAGCTAAGTTGAGTGATGCATCGCGTTTATTGTTTTTGGCGAGACATGCCATTAAACAAATGCTTTGCAAAACACGGACACTTATTTTGGAAATTCTTTATAGGAAACGCTTTGTAGATTTCTGCAGCTTTGACTCTATTGTGAGTCACAGATGGCATCGCAAGAAAGACAACAAAAGACAAAAAAACAGCAAAAACAGTGTGTCATTTTATCCAAACAACAACGCTGCTCTCCATACGCCACATTTATTCACCACATCATATTTTTCATCATAAAAAATATCCTCAAAAACATTTTCAACAGTCTAGATACTGTGACAAACGGTCACACTTGAACATTTCTAATAAAAGATAAATTATTCAAAATTAAACATGAAAAAAAGATTTCTGACAAACATGCTATCTTTTTTTTTATTACTTCGTGACTGAATCAGTACTACTTCTCTCTCAGTTGCCCCAACAAAGAAACTCATAAATACGAACATTTTTTCACAGAAAAACCTCAAACTCACCGCCTTCTGTCCTTTTTGCATGTATTTCCTCTCTTCTTGTCTTGGAAAGTAATATCCTTCACGCAAGACGAAGACTTATTAATGATAAATAAACTGTCTTCCTCTCGACTCTGCTCCACTGTCTGACAACACTATTTTTTTTTCTCCAGCTGGCTTTTATACCGCTGCTCGATGCAGCGCAGCGTTAGAGAGAACAGCAGAGGTAACTATCGGTCACTTTTTTCTGCCTCTTCCAAATAAGGCAAGCACGTGCGTAGTCAAAACATCTCTTAAAGGGCCAGCGACACCACGTCGCATCATTATTATCCATCCATCATCTATCCATACATCCATCCATCCATACCAAATATAATTTAATATTTTATTATTCGGCTACAAGACTGATTTTGAAGTCCTACTTTCTACCGTTCAGTTTGTACTAGCTACTGTGAGTGCACCTTAGGTTAAAAACAAAGCTGTTCTAATGTGATGATGTTTTTGTTTGTTGTTTATACTGGGTCATAATGTACAGTGTGCAAAATGTAATTGTCACATCTGTGGGTGAAGCAATTTTGTAGTTATTTCTTAAAGTCATTCAATGATTTTACAGTTGAGAGTAGAAAATAAAGGAGAGACAGTTCTGAGGCAGTTTGTGTTTCTCCCAAATATTTAACAGTGAAATACATGAAACTTGTCTATGAAGATTCTCAGTCATCCAGGTCAAGGTCAAGGTTGAAGAGTGCTGTTAGGCAACTGGACGTGAACTTTTCTCAACGTGGAATCTGAAGTTGAAACTAGGACTCTCTCTCTCTTTTTTTACTGATGCAAGCATACTAAGCAAAACAACGACACCAGGAGTCATATGAGTTTACATCTATCTTAGGTGTCTCTAGATGTAGCTTTTCTGTTCTGCTTTATTTATATTATTTCTAATTAATAGTTATTTACAAATGTAGTGTCTTGTTGACATAGACCTGGAACAAACAGCCTAGAGTCATCAGGAAATAACATTCAATAATTGAATGAATGGGTCAAAAAGTATATCAAAAAGTATAGCATCGTTTTTTTTCTTTCTCCAGCATCTGTAAGTTTTTACATCCTTAATGCTAAACAACACATTGGTAAAAACAAAATAAGCCTGATAGCACAGTGAATTAAAGGGTGGTCATACAGAGATAGCAAGAGACATTTATTTGTAATGATATGCTTAGACTGTTCTTTGTGAAATCGAATTTCAGTTTCAAAAATTCCTCATTATCTTTCTTCTCCCCAACACAGAGTTATGAATATCTCTATCTGTTAGTGCATCGACATTTCAAGCCTTACGTTGGATGTGCTAAAAGAAGTCATGTCACATTGAGCACTAAAATAAGATAAGCTGATTAAAGATAAACGATGGATGTTAACATGCCAGTGGATAGTTGGCATGTAGGATGCCAGCCACCAAAACTGGACTCAGCAGGACACAGTCAAAGAAGTTGTCATTTGTAGCAACATTATTTACTGCTGTTACAATGAACTTCACTTAGAGGTGTGAGCTGATACAGTAGTCAAATTTCCTGCTTTCTTGGGATCTTTTTACTTTTCTTGTGGCTGTAAAATGATTTAAGTATGACCAGAAGTCAAGTTCTTACTGATAAGAACAACTTTTAAAGGTGTATAATTCAAAAATAGCAAATGTAAAACAATTCCAACAGATCACTTTGTAGGAGGTGACGGTTTTGTAGTGAAAAGTAATTGGTTGGTTCTGACTTCACAGTTCCTTAAACTTCTTACGCAATAAAACCGATCAGGAAATGAATCAATGAAACAGTTTCAAATTGTTTTTTTTTGTTAAATATCATGAGATCAACATCCTTTTCAGAACAGTCCAAAAAGTGTGCAGCAAACTGGAGTCTTTGTCATGAGCATGTTCTTCTACACACAATCCCTGCTTGATTTCTTGTTGTCAACTCTGCATGGTTTTCATCTCATCACTGCCTTCTGTCTCCTCTACACTAGAGTTCTTTCTCTGTGGCTCAGCTGGAACAAGTGTTACCTCTGCCGAAGCTACGTGACCTTCTTCCGTCTGCCAGTGACAGATTATCCATCAGCTGCTTCACACCAGTTGTAACTTACTTGTTGAGTACAGGCAAATGTGGATTCTCAGGAGGTTAACAGAATAACAGGACCCATATCTGCACTTTGATCTGCCAGGCTTCATTAAAGGTCCCTGCTGTTTGTGCTGCATTCAGGACCTCATCAAACCACTGACATGTTGGTTGAGAAGCAGACTGATAAAATAAAATAAAAATCTCTTACTCTGAATTGTGTGGGCAAGTTTTGAATTTGTTAGCTCTGGGAGCAAAAAGTAATTGAACATATTGGTCGTCTATTTAACATAAAATGATAGCGAAGACCTTAGAATCAATGATTTGCTTTTATTTTTTGGGATATAGTTCAGACATTTCCAATAACTGTGATCAACTATCTGATGCAGTTATTCGTCACGACTGATTCTCACTACGCAGTGACTCCAAGCACTCAACGTCCAAACACTCCGATTTTTGTGCAACCAAGTTATCACACGGTTGATTTCGGTGTGGATTCGAATAAGCGTTTTTCAATTTCCTATTTCTTCCTGAAAGTGTGAATTGTCCTCTCGGTTGACTTGACCGATAGTAAACCCGTATACAAACTGCAGCGGAGAATGTAGCAGCCACAACAGGCGTCGTGCTTTATTTGTGATGAAGGACTTGAAGGCGGCTCACAGTTGACTGTTTGGTGAATGTTAGGTGTCAGTGTTTTACTGACTGAACGCAGACATACAGAAGTCACTTCCCGCATCCAGCCTTACGCAGAGTGCGCTCTTTGTGTGGAGCAGGAAACTGCAAGTAGGACGAGGAGAGGAGGAAGATGGGGGATGGAAAGTTTGCCCGATAGTAACCCCAGCTTTGAGAAAGAAAAGAGGATGGCAGGTTTGTCCGATAGTAACCTTTTGCAAAGCGAGTGGAGGGGGAGGAGGGATTTGCCCGATAGTCACCTTAACATAGAATAGTGATGGGAAGCAGGACTAGAGGCAGTGGTGTCCGGATCCTTTAATGACATTCTTATAGCAAGAAAATATGTCACATTTGTCAAACAAATTGTCTACAAAAGTATTGTTGTTGTCGCATACACTCAGAGAATGGTGATGAAGTTTTTCGACAAACTGCGCCTGATTAAGGTTCCGTCTTAACATGCCGAGTACCTAAATGTCATTGTTTTAGTAGAAAATGACAAGAAAAGGAGGTAATGATATCGAAGGAACATGCAGACATCAGCTGCAGGAAAACCATACTAGACAAACTGCTCTCATCCTGCTGGTAACGTCGACACATGTAACATTTAAGTGTTGTCGGAAATACGAACACTACAAATTAGCGTTGTTCTGTACAACAACAACAACAATAATGAGAATAATAAAAATGTTAATAATTATTATAATTACTAGTAGTGGTTGTATTGCAACATACTGCGTACTTTATATTGTACAATTAATTTACGCTGCATTAAAATGTATTCATTCCGCTGTAATAAATGCCAAATTTCTTTAATTAGTTTGAAAACAGCGAACTATAAGACTGTTTTATTATCACATATTGTGTGATAATATATGTGATAATAATTTTTTCTGAACCGCAGCAGTCTAGTTGGTCTCGAAAGCGATTGGGTGACTGGGTCCTTAAATGCACCGCAGTTTAACCGCTAGTTACCTCGTGCCGCAGCGATCAGTGCGAGAAGTGGGTGAAAGGGGAATGATGTCACTGCCTGAGGCTGAGAAAGACTTGGAAGAACAACACAGAGACAAAGCTACAGGACATGCAAACTTAGCAAAATATAGATACGACGATGCTCGAGAGAAAAAAACGCTGATTTATGTTTGTTCAAAAGGGTTGGGTTCAATGTTAAATTCCCTTTGCAGGTGACTGGTTTTCTTTTACATTGTTAAAACTATCATATCTAATTGTTTTTGTGAATGTCCATGTTGTGCACCATTTTTAATAATTTTTAATTGTGTTTTAATAATTGTATTTTTCCTAAATCCAATTAAGAGCAGAATTACATTTTATTAAACTGAACAAAGTGGCAGACCTTGACCTTCTTTTGTATGAGTGGACTAGTACCTTTGGTTATGTGACTGGGAACTACTTTCAGGTCACAGAGTGAATAATACTTTTGGGTCATGGTACAACATCAGAGCACCATCTATTCTGCCGTCTTCCATCTAGTGCTGTAGAAAATAGGTTATTTTTAATGCTAATTTGTTCAGATAACATTCTTGTCTCATGAGTCTTATCTTTCCACATTTCAATGAAATTATTGGATAAACCATATCCTTCAATTACAAAGTTATATAAAAGTGTGACATCACTAAACTTGTTTTTACTGACTTTGTTTAATTTAATTAATGAACAAAGTGTGTGATGCAACCAATAAACAACACATTCTTTATGCCTCTTCTCTCAGGTTTCACTTCATAAACACAACAGACCAATGAAGTGCTTTAATTGTTAATTAGTCAGAGCGTGACAACAATGGCAGTGTTTAGAATGGCCCTGCTGTTGTTCACATACTTCTGTTCTGTAAATAGTGATTTGAAATGCACACATCCTCAGTGTGTCCTGTAGGATCTTAGTGGATATTGATTTCCTATATCCAGCTGTAATGAATCTCTTTGGCCCTGCTGAAGTGCCAACACACAGTGTGTATATGAGGATATGTACTGTAGTTGTAGTACAAGTATTTGAGGCATACAGTACTATACATATCTGACAATTGCTGGAAAAGTACTCTAATGTCTTGACCTGAACTAATTAGTGTATTAAATGTGGTTGTTATGTTCTGTTTATAGTGTGAGAGACAGACTGACCTCAGAGAGTTATTGCTACCCTATTATATTATATATATATATATATATATATACTTTAGATGGTCAGTCCATGTGTTTTACTCTGTCATAAAAACATACATTTATTTTATTAATTTACTATTTATGTCTTTCATTACCACACAAGAAAGATTACACATGCATTATATAGCCACCTGCTAGCACAGCTAAGTTGTATTTGAACTTGAACCCCTATGGCACAGTTCTGACTGTCAGTCACAGTGTGTACTCACTGTTAATGCCATGTCACCTGCTGTACCTCATTATCTTCTTCCTCAAAAAAGTTCTTATTGAAGAAACACTGGAGTTTAAATATGTCTGTATCATGGGGGAGTGTATAATGTGAACTAAAATGGAGCAGCCTCATTTCCCCTTTTGGTTCATCACAGTTTGCTCACTCTATTTCAGTCCAGGTGTGAGGGCTTCACTTTTTTAACATGAACATTTAAATGTCCAAACCAAAACAACTCCCTGTTGTAACCCTTACACTGAACCATAGTGTAGTGGTTATCACACCTGCAGTGTGAATTTCCCTATTGTGGGATGAATAAGGGACTTCAGTTTGCCTTATAGGTAGGTCCTGGTTTCAAGCCCCAGGGGAACTGCGTGCTTATTATTATTTGATTATGCAATTTGTTGAATAGTGACATGTGACACATTTATGAGAAGATTTGCCTTTGGATCAATCACATGTTTTGCATGTGCTGTGTCTGTTTGCGTCACAGATTTCTATTACACACTGTGGCAGGGATCTAATATTTGCCATGACTTATAATATAAATTGTGTGCAGGTTCTCAATTTGCCCATGTACCAGCACATATTGTCTTTGGTTAAACAGTCTCTAAGTTGTTGACGGTAGGCTTTGTTGACCTAGCAAACACCCTATTCTCTTCATCAAGGAGTCGAAGCGTGTCAGAGTCATGTGGTGTATCCTCACACTCAGCCAGAGACCGCCCTGCTCTTTAGAAAACTGGGTCAAACATTTCCTTACACAAACATTGTTCAGTTTACTTAGAATTAAAAAGGACACATTTCAGCAGATATTTTGACGGGAGGTTTGGTGAAAGCATTCTGAATGACATTCAGCTCTTTCTGTTCCTACAATAGTTTTAATTAAAGTAATACACATGGGCATTTTGTGCTGGAGACAATGCATTCAGAGCATTTGACATCTGCAATGTAACCATCAGACTTTATCCTTGAAAGACCTGTCAGACTGCAGTGTAGATTCAGACTCACTTTAGTTACGTTTCCTACAAACACAGACTATCACTGTCAATTTGTTTCTAAGGTGTGCTTGGCAGTACCTGCTTATGTCCTGTACTGCAGTATCTTGAACAGAATCTGTGGGCAGTTAAAGGTCAAGTGGATTAAATGACATTTTCCTGATGGCGGTTGGTTAGTCGAAAGTCAAAATGTATACATATGGAGCAAACATTCTCAAAGTTAGAGATGACGTTAGCATTCTTTTACACAATATTCAAATGTTTTTGTAGCCTTTCATAATAACAGTGTACTGTACACAGTAGTTTAAGTTGATTCACAGATTGATACACAGTTGTTTACTGTGAAGTGTTCAGAAATGACATCATCTTTCTCAGGCACAACTGATTGACAATCATGAAATGACATTTGCCCCAGTGCCCTGACTTGGCCTTTTAAAAAACACACTCTTCATGTGTGTATGTAGCAGAGTGCTGACTACAGCCATCTGCCGCTGCTGTTTATAAAATGGACTATTCATCTTAAACAGCTGCCGACTGCTACTGTTGTCCTCTTAGTCTGGCTGCTCAGGTCTCTCCCAGCCTGTGGAATTCCTGGAAGAACAAATACTAAAATTGACACACAAGCTAACCTCCCCATATTTGTGCAAAAAACCAAACAAACAAAAAAAAAAACCAACAAACAAAAAACAACACAAATTACATATTGTATATATATAATTCGTTTTTTACCCATTTTTATTACACTTATTTATTTATTAAATTAAAATGCACTCTGCCATCAAAGAATACAATTATTTCACACAATGAGATGTTAAAATGTACATGATGTATAATGTACTTTTGGGCAGGAGAAGAAACTGTGGTGTTTATGTGTGTGCCCATCTTGTTTATGTGAGGCTGTCTCAGCCCACCATGAGGAATGTACTATTCTTTTTTTTCTATTTTTCTCAGTGCAGCTCTTATTTCAGGGCCTTTGTTTGACAGTGTGACAGAGCCACACTTTGTGTCTCATGTAAGTCAGGCAAGCACCCGCACACAAACACACACACACACACACACACACACACACACACACTCAGACATAGTGTTCTAAACTGTTGCTATTTTGGTAGTGTAAAAAAATGATAGTGTGAGAATGAGGGAAGTGTTATTGACACAAAATCTTGAAATTGAATTACCCAACAACACTGTGGACGGAATTAGAGTTAAAGATATAAGTTTCCTGTCCTGAGAAACTGTTAACAAATTAAATTTACTAGTCCAAATGTAAACGTTGAAACATGATGTCACCCAGTCCTTTTCCCGCAGGAACACTGGACACACTGCATGTATAGCTGTCCTGCACTCGGTTTTTGCATATAAAAAGATACCACTGAAAGAGGAAGAAATGAACAAACATGATTTAAATCTTGTTTTTAGTCACAGCCAAAGCAGATGACCTGCCTGTATCATACTTTCTTCTTCTTCTTCTACTTCCACCCCCCCCACCTTGTTACAAAAGCCATCTTAATCTTCTCCTTAACTATGCTCATGAATCTCCTGCAGCTGATTTCACAATCTCCTCCGATACTTTCTCCTCTCCCCTCCAAAGAAGAAGAAAAAGAAGAATCCCTTTCACTTTGACAGAGCCTAATTTATACCATATGACCTTACAGATGCAACCCAACCTCTGGGTGGCAGGCAGGAGTCCAGCCACTGCACGTGCCTCATTTCCTCTAACCTCTCACCCTCCTTTGTTCATGACACCACCTCTTTGGGCCAAACTATTACAACAATGACTCTAACTTTATCTCCAAAATGGCCAACCCTTGGCTTAGCTAACCCTAGCCTCTGTTAGCTAACCTTAGGAAACAGGACTAAAGATAGAAACAAAGGTCACGCCACCGTTTTCTACACCTTCCCTTTTATTTAAGGTGTCCTCCGTCACACTTCCCTCCTGACTCTGGTCTGTAGCTTCTCCTTCACCTCTTTTGTGGCAGGTACTTGAACCCATTCACCTTTGCTCCCTCTACTCCTTTCACCCTCCACCTTTTATGAAACTATTATTCATACACTCCGGCTGGCCTGCTCTAGAAGTGTTTTCTCTCCCCCTAACATGGCCTGATGTTAGAGCTTCAGGTTCACGATTCTCGCTGAAATTGTTTTCATGTTGACAAACAGTACTGACAAGATCAGAACAGTTTTAACCACCTCAGATGATCTTGGCCTCGTTTGTCCTTTACGTGGTGTCACATATACAGGAATCTACTCGTCGTCTCTATATTGCTGTATATATTTGACCAGCGTTAGTTCCTTCATTCAGCAGACCGGAAGCAGAGGGGGAAAAACATTCTCTTCGCCTTAAACAGAAACATTCATTATCTTGGACTCTACCGCCATCTACTGTTTGGTTGGCAGAATTACATTTTTAACATCGGCTCTGTCAATGTTTGTGCATTACTGGGAATAGTTTGTTGATATTCACCCCCCTCCCCACCCCAACCCCCAAGTGTTTCAGCCCAGGAGTGTGTTCTTTATTGTTACCACAAGTGAAAAATGAGGGGATAGGAAAGGTGCAATTTATTTATTTAGTCTGTAATCATATAATCAAAATAAGGAAGCAGTTCCAGCAAATGCACATTTATTGATTCCATTACAGCCACGGCTAATTATTTTAGGATGACTAATGACATTATGTCACAGCAAAGATGGCTGGAATAACTGTATGAAGGATGAAGCACTAGAGGTTTAACATTGTACCAAAACCTGACAAACTAGGAAGGTACAATCTAGATTGTAGTTTGAATAGACAGTAATAAAGGAGATGAGATGACTTCCATACATATGCACAGTTATGTATGGAAATAAAACAAATTTTGAATGCGTTTTACCAAATAGCTGACTGTTTACTATTGACGTTGCCATCCAGTTTCCCACTTGTTTTCAAAGTGAAACCATGGAGGAACAGAATGATTTAATATTGGTTTTAGTAGTAAATGGAATATAAATATTTTAAACCACAGCTATTATTTTTATTGGCATCGGTTTCATGTCCTCTCCTGAGCTACAACATGTTCCAGACTGCAACAAATTTAATCCATGTATACACACACACACACACACACACACACCCCACACACACACACATATATATATAAAGCACAGTGCCCTACTCTTAAAAGATTATTTAACATTTTGTCACATATCACCAGTTGATGATATTCCTCACGTGTCCCCACAGCTTAGTTAGCCAGAGGTTAACCCCCAAGTCTGTCAGATATTGAATTTCCGGGGTTAACATTTTTTGGCACAACACCTGATAGTCTTTGTCTATGTTTCTATTTAAATTATATCCCATAATGGATTTTTCTCCAATGGGCTGCCACGGCTGCATGTTCTCTTCATGGATGTTCTCAGCTGCGACAGGGTGACCCCCCTCAATACAGATCTGCTGCAGCTCTGTGTTTCTTCTCTTGAGTTCTTTGACATCCTTTGTCATTCGCTTTCGTCCGTACGCCTCCACCTTCTCCCAGAAAGTCCGGTTAAAATATTTGTAAAGCTTCCAGTCAATGGCGTTCCACTGCAGCGCCTTTTCTCTTAGTTCTGGGCTGAGTTTAGACACAGTGGATTGCTGACGTGCGTTGAGCTTGAAGAAAAGGATGTCAGCCATCTCCCAACAGAGGGTGTCCTTAAGTAGGATAAGAGACTCCTCAAAATACTCCACCAGCATGACCAGATGAAAACGCTCAGCAATGAGCCTGATGGCCTCATCTACTCTGGGATCATTCGAGTCCAAGGTGTGGTCCTGTCCTAAATCGAAAAAGAGCAGATTCTTGATATAAAAGGAGTTCAAACTCTTTGGGCCGAAGTAGAGATCGGG